GGCCCGACGGCGCAATCGGGGCCCGATCGGGGCCCGACGGCGCAATCGGGGCCCGATCGGGGCCCGACGGTGCAATCGGGCCCGATCGGGGCCCGATGGTGCAATCGGGCCCCGATCGTCCCGTGGTGCAACCCCAGCCACCCATGTTATAGCTCAACGCCGGTTTTCCTTAGTATGCGGATTGCAACTGTATCTATAGCAAAACTAGGCGACGCCAGCTTGGTACAATTGACGGGGCCCGACTGAGTCGGGCCCCGATCGGGGCGCGATGGCGCAATCCAAACGGTGCAATCGGGCGGCCCCCGACAGTGCAACCGGGCCCCGACCTAATCCCGGTGAACCTCGCAAACCGTTCTCACGCAACTTTCGTGGAGCTCCGCGTGAAACTTTGCTGGAACCTTTCCTCAGGGCTGCCCCATAGCTTTTGCAAAATTTGGTGGAAACCTTTTGACCTCATAGCCCTCGCAGCCTCGTGGAATTCTTGGAACCCAAAGCCCACCAAGCAGCAATGCCAAGCATTTACTCTGCTGCACCGTGAGTTCCGCAGCGACGTGATCTGATTTGCCACAAAGCCAACATCTGCCCGAGCAAGTGAGCAAGTCACAAAACAGTGAAAGTGTGCTAAAAACCATTGACTTCGGTTTTGCTTAGTGTTCCGCCCATGAGCAAAGCGATCTTGATTCGATGGCTTTTCAGACGACGGGCGCACGACACACCCTTGGTGGAGCATTATGGAGCCTTGTGGAACCCGTGTGGAATCCTTGCAGAGCTTTGTGGAACCCTCGCAGAACCTTGTGGAACCCTGAAGCCCTCATACAACCTTACCTCACCTCGGACCACCCTGCAGCCCTTGCAGAACCTGGTGAAACCCTGGCAGAATTCTGGTGGGAACCCTCGTGGAACCTTACCTCAAACCACCCCGGACCACCCTGCAGCCTGGAACCCTGGTGGAACCCTGGCGGAACCCTCGTGAAACCTTCCTCAAATCCGCAGCCCTCGAAGAAATTGGTGGAACCCTAGTGGAACCCTCGTGGAACCTTACCTCAAACCACCCCAGACCACCCCGCCCTTGCACCTGGTGGAACCCTGGTGGAACCCTGGTGGAACCCTGGTGGAACCCTGGTGGAACCCTGGTGGAACCCTGGTGGAACCCTGGTGGAACCCTGGTGGAACCCTGGTGGAACCCTGGTGGAACCCTGGTGGAACCCCTGGTGGAACCCTGGTGGAACCCCTGGTGGAACCCTGGTGGAACCTTAGCTCAGGGTCGCCCCGAACCACCCCGGAGCCTATCTGGGCTGAGACCCCAAAGCTTTCAGCTGTTGGGGAAAAAACATTAAATTGTGTGAAGTTCATTCGAAACCATGGGCGGTGCTACTTATGATAGCTGTTCTAAAAAGGTCTGTTTCGGCCAGATTTGCTTGTGAACACATTTAGCTTTATGTATCAGGGGTAGTTTGCTGTTTGTAGGTGGGCAATACTGTGTGAACAGCATCGTCGATCAAACAAGTATTGTTATGTGCAGGGAAAGTTAGCAGGTATTTGAATCGCTGCCACCTTTCACCATTGTCATAGCGTGCCCAAATCGGTACAGCGGGATGCTGCAAGTAAAGCGATCACCTCCGAACACATTAAACCCCTGGTAGCCGGTAGGCCGTGTAAATCAAACAAGCACCCTAAAGACTGCTTTGTGGACAACAGCTTGAGGTTTTCGACATTGTGGAAAAAGCTGTTGCCAGGGGGTTTCCCTGCTTCCTATAATTGCAATTCCAAGTGGATGGCAAACCGATATTCGCTATCCCAAGTATTGGCCCACAGAAACTTAGATGCATCTGGATGCATCTGCTCGCTGCTGAATCGGTTCCCTCGTGCGTTCTGCCAGCATTCGACCCACTGGCCGAACGCTGCCCAAGGGGGGGAGGGGCGGAGCACCAATTATCAGGAGATGAACAAGTACGAGCAGTTTGCCCCCGTGATTCTGCTTTCCTGTGGCTGGTGGCTTGGACTGGTGTTAAAAAGGCCTACAAAAAGCCAGGGGTTCAAATCCCAAAATCCCAAATCCAAACCACAAGGGGTTGCCTGACTGTTTGACTTCATTTGGTTGTGAGCTTGGGCCCGGACATATGAGAATCATCCACGACTTCACGAGGTGCTTCTTCGAAGCGACCTGTTCCAAAGCAAGCGGGCACAGGTCGTCACCCCACCCCACTCACCCCACCACCCCCACCCCCACCCCCAACTTCGCCGCCGGCAAGGCGAGCCACTGACGACCTTCACCCAACTTTCGGCGCGGCAAACTAGCAGCGACCTACTTTCCCGAAGCCATGGTGACTTAGCCGGCGGATTGGCATGGCTTCAACGCCCCTTGCCACGACCAGCTTCATTCGGCCGAGGCCTGTCAAGCCGGCATAGCCGTGCAACCTAAAGCAAACAAAGTGCACCAAAAAGCAAAATAAAGCAGGCAGATCAAATATGATGCGAAACACACAATTCCAAACCAAGCAAAGCCTGCCAAACACCCATCCCCCAACCAAGCAAGCGAGCAAGCAAGCTTGCCAAAAACCAACCAACCCACCTACCCACCCGCGCGCCCACCCACCCATCAACCAAGCAACCAACCAACCAACCAACCAACCAACCAACCAACCAACCAAGCAAGCAAGCAACCAACCAACCAACCAACCAACCAACCAAGCAACCAACCAACCAACCAACCGGGCAGCCAAGCAACGAATCAACATAACACTGCTAACAGCGTGACAATATTACCATCAGCTGCCTCCTCGCAATCGAAAGCATGGGGCACCCTTTGCAAATGCAAGTTGGAGGAGTTTTGTCCCGTCGAGAAAGCTGCACATGCAAGTTCAAGCGTTGTATATGCATGCGGGCAAGGATTCGTTTATCTTGTAACCATTGACGGACGCTTAGTTGTGGACTGGAGACTCCACAATCATCCCACCGCACTTTGACAAAATCCACAGCCATTGACTATGCTCCCCTTGTCCCCTTGTGCGTGCGCGTGCGCAGGGTGCGTGCACAGCGCGCGTGCGAAGCATGCATGCATGAGTGCAGGCCTGCTTGAATACATGCTTGCATACACGTGCTGTGTGTGTGTGTGTGTGTTACATTGCCTTTGCGCGTGCCTATAGTTGTTGTGCATTCATCGGGGGCCATCGCCTTTGTCGTGCCAGCCTCTGTGCATGCGAGCGTGTGTGCTTGTGAGCGCGTGTTCGCACGTGTGTCAGACCAAAGGTCATGTCCCTTGCAAATTTGTCAAGTCGCCACTCAGAACGGCAGGTAGACAGTGAGAGAACATATCTGAAAACAGGGAACGCCTAAGAATTAAGAATGCCTAGTTTTTCTTTAGCCTTCCTTCTAAACAACAATCCCCCTCAAAATGAAACAGACCACAACTTCGCCCCTGCGGCAGCCTTCCCAATCGCCCGCGACTCGCGACCGCGGCGATTGCCTCATGAAGCGGGGCCCATCCCGCCCCAAGGAGAAACAGCTGCCGGACTTGAGCAATGTCGACTTCTTGGTTCCATGCTCACAGCAAAACATAGCAACGGCAACCCCAGATTCAAGTCCCGTAAAATTGGGGGGTGTCGCCTAAGTGAAGGATTCCCATGGATTCCGACTAAAAGGGGACCCCCCCCGATTCATCAACCGGGGCCCATTACCTGGTAGTAATAAATCACGTGAGCCCAGTATGAAAAACACCATTGTCGGGGGTGCCCTCACCAGCTGCACTGCAGTGTTGGTTTCCTGGGCGTGCCTTTTGTTCGTAGGAGCCTTCTTGCGCTTTCGGAAGTTCCAGAAAAGCGACATGTATGTCATATGCTACTGTACCTGTTGCTGATCGCAGGGGAAAAACGCATCATTTAAGCTGCAATGTGTTGCTCTTCCCCTTTACCATGCGGCTGTCGTTCGCTTCCTCCTCTCTCCCCAGTTAATAGTTGATCCATGCTTCAGATTCACAAACAACATGAAATACTACATCAGCCCGAGGCCTAGGTTCAGCCAATCCACGTCGCGGACGGCCTCTGCAAAAGAGACGCATGCATTCGATGTTTCACTGCGGTTCCTTTATTCAACATGAAGTCGCCCGTACCAATTCATGGGGTGGTGCACCCAGCGAGCACAGCCTCGCAACTTCCTTTTCGTCGCGAGCCGATTTCACAGGTCGGCGCCGTGGGACCTCAGCATGTGATCAATGATTACAGAGTCTGAACCTGCAACGAGCGGCACGAGGTGTAAACACAAACCTAACACAGAAGATACCCCAAGGGATGGGAAAGGCTGTCCCGCACAGATTGGATTGGGAGAATCGTCAAACCTGCTCTAGGGTGGGTTCTACCAGCATGCCAAAAGCGAGAAATAAGCTTCCTTCTGCTTGTCCCCAAAGAATGAAGTGAACAAGCGAGGCAACTGAGCTACCATTGTGCAAAGAGCAGCCAAGTCAGGGAACCTGTCATTAGCAAATGATCCTTGCTTTTGACATGTCTGACAGCACTTCAACCATAGAGGACTGAATGACAAACCAACCTGAAGACAATGGGTAGCCTTCTGGAAAGGGTCGAAGATCCCATCCAACAAACATACACAAGCACACACCTCAAATAATCTTCAATCGGCCACCATCGGCAAATCATCCACCTGATTTCAGGCGCGGCTCCGATTTGCCAAGAGATTTGATAGGATGCCCCTTCCGAACCCCACCCACAGCCCCATAGAAGGGGATGGAGGCCGCAAAAGCCGATTCGCAACATTCCAACCGTTCCTGAATTTTCGGTCGCAGGGGCTGATGCCTAAGTCCAAGCTCAAAATGGCAAGCACTCCTGTGAAAATTCTGAAGAAGGAAAACATCTAACAACCGCTATTGGCTATGTGGCAGTTGGGTGATGCTAGCCTTTGTGTCGCCATAGTACCTTCTAGGATCCAACAAGCCAAAGGTCCCACAACCCCCCTCCCCCCGCCCCCGCAGGCGCATCTGCCCAATTTTTGATGTCGCCCCGGTCATCTGTGGCACAGCCCCAGCATCAAAGATGAGGTGACCTCAGGCCGGGGCTCAAGGCACTCTGGGCACCAAGAGTGCCAAGGAGTTCAACCGTCCAGGGTACTGACTCCATGTTTTGAAACCATCCCCTCATTCTCACTTGTCTTTAAGGCGATACCAGGTACCAGTATGACCTGATGCTGGTGCAAGTCAAGAGTCAAGTGCGCGTGAAAAGGTAGTTCCTCCGTCAGTCTGCTGCGTTTTAAGCTGGAATGCGCGTGCCCTGCGCGCGTGAAAAGGTAGTTCCTCCGTCAGTCTGCTGCGTTTTAAGCTGGAATGCGCGTGCCCTGCGACAATCGATTTCATCAGAATATGATTAAAACTGCCAGGACGTGCACTATGACCCTGACCGATACTATCCGATTCGATGGAGATTGTGACATTCAATACCATGGGTTCGCCCAAGAAAGGCAAGGGCCAATTTGGACTAGCTTTCCCGTCAAAATCCCGAGCCGATCAATGATTGCCAGCTTCCAGCCGCAGCTCGCAGCAGCTACTAGTTGGGTGTGAGTCTCAATTGGGGAATCTCTGGTGGACCTCATTAAGGTGGTTGGAAGGGGTTCCTCTTAAAGGTTCATAGTTCGTAGCCATTTGCAGCATAAGAATGGGGGCGCGGATGTGTTTTTTTTCTTCCCGGTTCACTCCGTTTCGCCTGAAACAAGTGGGTTGCTTCTGCAGATCTAGCATTCCAACACCTGAAATAAGGGATCCTCCTGTATAGAGGGTCGTCATGGTGCGTACGCTATAAAAAATGGCTGGGGAGGGTAAGGAGGGCGGTGCCAGCCGGCCATCAAAGGGGCATGGATGCGCATGGTGTCAAAACACGGGGACCCCGAACACAGTTGTTGCCAACCTGCCGAAGGGTTCCCTCATTAAACAACACACAGTGTGTTCTTATTCTCTTTTTTTTGGGGGGGAGGGGGGGGAGCATATGTGGGTTGGCTTGACAGGGAACCCAAAAAGGAAGGCACTTCCTGAGTGTCCTGAGTGGATTGGCCAGTCGAAAAACAAGTTATTTGCCCCTAAACAGGTCCAAACCCAGAAAGATGCAAGTTCCAGGAACTCAGGGAGCGAGTCTAGGGGGCCAATGAGACAAACCCATCCCTCACTCCCAGGCGCCACCAGCAGCGAGGAGCAGGCCATGGCTGCACCGCAAAAGGTGGGCGGAAGCCAAAGGCCCCAAGGCGCACCCAGGCCGGCAGCCAAGGGCAAGCCTCAAACCAACCGACGGGTAAGATGGACACTTGAGGTTTATTTGGAAGAGGAATCCCCTTCAAAGGTCAACAACCCTTGTAAAGGGAAGCTCGCCAAACAAATGCTCAACATTTTCCAAAGCTGAACCTTACCAAGCCGAGCTCGCCAAATAGGCGCTCAGAGTTTTCCAGCTCTGAAACCGCAAAAAGCGTCGCAGAGCCAGACGAATTGCTGGGTTGTCCGAACAGTCCAACCAGCCCAACCACTCCGACCAGTCAGACCAGTCTGACCAGAATTGCATGGGCTGTCCGAACAGTCCGACCAGTCCGACGACCAGCGACCTCAAGTTGGCAGCCACAGGAGATGTTTCAAAATCAAAAGGGGAAATCTACAATTTCAAACAGCCACCCCAAACTCCACGACCACCATTTCGCGCCAGGCAAAGGCAATCCTCGTGGGCCGCCAGGGCGCCCAGGAAGTTGAAGCTGAGCGCCCAGGCGAAGTTCCGGTAAATGGTGCGCCTCGGCGTTTTCCGCGGCTTTTGGGACGAAGCCCAGAAAGGAGTTCCTCGACTCTCAATCACCCTTCGTTTTTGGGGTGGTGCTGTGTTGCATTCATTTTTGGGGTGTTTTGTCATTTTTGGTGGTGTTATTTCCATGTTTGGGTGCTTTGGTTTTTCCATGCGCTGCTTTTTCAACCCTGGAATTCCGCTAGCGGTGTGTTTAACTTGTCTGAATCAACAACGTTGTTGTTCACTGCGCAGGGCTTGCTTGAAAGATACAAGTGCCAAGTCAAGCAGCGGCGTCAAACCTCCTGGTTCAGCTCAGCTGCGCAATAACTTTGATGTTGGCATTGAAGAAATCATCAAACCTAATTTGACCTTGGCCCAAACGGCTTGAATGCCAACACAACACAAGGGAAAACAAAAGACGTGTTATTAGCCTTTCATTTTTGTGTGAGAAAAACATTTGTGAGTTGCACAAGTTAAGAAGGCTGCCCCGTTGCGTGCTGCCTAGTGTTGGAGCCGATCACTGAGCCGCAAGGCATCCAAATCAGGTTTCCTTTGGAAGCGAGCAGGTGGCTGGGTGCACCACAACTCAAACTGATGCTTAGGAGGGCGCTGCGACAATGCAAAGAACCAACATCACTTAAACAGGAGCTAGACATTTCGAGTTGTTTCTTCTAGTGTTTGCGGTGTGCTTTGTGCGACACACATCACAAACGCTTGTTCATGGCAAAACCCGGTCTTCTAATGGCTTGAAACAGTGTGTCATGCGCAGTTCACCGCATGTTCATGTAATGTCACTCTACTTTCACGACTGTAGGGTCCAAGAAGGTATAAGTTCAATGAACAAATATTGTCGCAACAAATTCAGAAGGACAGCTTTCGCAGATTTTGTAGCAGCGCGATGGGAGTGACTCCGCATTTGTCCACAGCTCTGTGCCCTTGGGCCGTGTGCCCAAAATTGTTTCAATCTACAAACAACACAAGAAACATCTTAATTAAGCATGATGTACAATACTTTGCAAATTCGGGTATGTTTAGTTTCACTATGCCTCCTAGATGATCAAGTTCACATGTTGCTTCAACGGTGGTTCTCTGGCTAAGGCACCAGTTGCCCTTAAAGTTGATGTCCTGAAGCAAGCATACAGCCAAAGGGTCCAGTCTTTATATGATAGCAGGCAAGCTTGCAACACCTGCAATTCTGCGAACAGTAGCTGTCACTAGCAATTGAATGGTCGTTCCGTAAGGTCCACCTAGGAGTAAACATTGCACCAAACGGGTGGCCTCCCCAAAAATGAACCTGGAATAAAGACGAGCACCCGCCACCCCCGCCCAAATGTTCTGAACGAAAAGTATAAGGAACATGACAAAATGGAACAAACAGAGAAAGAAGAGGAGAGGTAGCCAAGCCAACACCTGGTCCTTAGATCTTTGGTACCTTGTTCTTCAGCTCCCCAAAAGTCAAGCTGTCCAGCTGCCCAAGAAGTCATGGTTTCTTACATGTCTCTTGTTTAAAAACTGCCCGCAATCAAACCTGCAAAGGCCCCAAACTTGAGCCCAAGACTTTATTTCAGGGGCCCCTACAATAAAGTCTTGTTGTCTGGCCCCCTGCAAATATGCAACTAGCCCAGCGCAACTACCTATGAAGCTTCGGGCTTTGTTGTTAGATTTGGGCCTGCTTCCCAAAATCAAAAATGTCCAGCTTCCCCAAGCTCTTGTTTTCTTGAATGTCTCGTTTAAAAACTGCCTACAACCAAACTCAGAAACAACCTAGTACTTTACCCCAATTTGACATTATTTCAGCGGCCCCTGAAATAAAGTCTTGGTGCCTGCCCGCGGCTGCCCGCGTCAAAAAATATATCAAGAGGAAGCTCCAGCAATACTAAGTCAAATGGAAACTAAGTTCCAGATCTCAAAAGGAAGCTCCAGCAATGCAAAATCAAATCGCAACTCCATTCCAAATCTCAAAAGGAAGCTCCAGCAATGCTAAATCAAATGGAAACTCAATTCCAAATCTCAAAAAGAAGCTCCAGCAATACTAAATCTTATGGAAACTCAGTTCCAGATCTCAAAAGGAAGCCCCAGCAATACAAAATCAAATGGAAACTAAGTTCCAGATCTCAAAAGGAAGCCCCAGCACTGCAAAATCAAATGGAAATTCAGTTCCAGATCTCAAAAGGAGGCTCCAGCAATACTAAGTCAAATGGAAACTCAATTCCAAATCTCAAAAGGAAGCTCCAGCAGTGCTAAATCAAATGGAAACTCAATTCCAAATCTCAAAAGGAAGCTCCAGCAATACTAAGTCAAATGGAAACTCAATTCCAAATCTCAAAAGGAAGCTCCAGCAATACTAAATCAAATCGAAACTCCATTCCAGATCTCAAAAGGAAGCTCTAGCAATACTAAACTAAATGGAAACTTAAGCCTACCAATTCTAAATCAAATGGAAATTCAAGTCTACCAATACTAAAGCAAATGGAAGCAAAATTGAACTGGATCTCAAGCGATTATTCTAGGCACCCCCTTTGTTGGGGGCGGGGAGGGCCCCCCCTTTACTAATCCCAAGTGGACATTACTCCGAACAAAGACCATTTAAAGGACATTACTCCGAACATAGTCCGGATAGGTGGACAGGGTCCGCCGGACCGATTAAACGGCCCGGACGGGTCCGGACGAATCTGGATAGGTCCGGACGGGCCCGGACTATCAAAAAAATGTGTTTTTCTCAAAAAAAGTGTTTTGGTTCGGGCCCCGGGACGGACGCTTAAATACGCCTTTTGGACGCCTAAATACGCCTTGTCGGACGCCCCGCTGGACGCCCAAAACAAAAAAAGGTGTTTTGGATAGAAAATGGTGTTTTTGTATGTTTTTCTCGTCCGGACGCGTCCGCCCGCCCGGACCCTGTCCACCTAGCCGAACTATGTTCGGAGCAATGTCCTGTAAATGGTCTTTGTTCGGAGTAATGTCCACCTGGGATTAGTAAAGGGGGGGCCCTCCCCCACCCCAACAAAGAGGGTGCCTAGAGTAATCTCTTGAGATCCCGTTCAATGTTGCTTCCATTTGCTTTAGTAAATTAGACTTGAATTTCCATTTGATTTAGTATTGCTGGAGCTTCCTTTTGAGATTTGTATGTGAGTTTCTGATTGATTTAGAGATTTGGAATTGAGTTTCCATTTGACTTAGTATTGCTGGAGCTTCCTTTTGAGATTTGTATTTGAGTTTCCATTTGATTTACAGATTTGGAATTGAGTTTCCATTTGACTTAGTATTGCTGGGGCTTCCTTTTGAGATTTGGAATTGAGTTTCCATTTTACTTAGCATTGCTGGAGCTTCCTTTTGAGATTTGGAAATGAGTTTCCATTTGATTTAATATTGCTGGAGCTTCCTTTGAGACTTGGACATTGGTTCCATTCGACTTAGCATTGCTGGAGCTTTCTTTTGAGATCTGGAACTTAGTTTCCATTTGATTTTGTATTGCTGGAGCTTCCTCTTGATATGTTTTTGGACGCGGGCAGCCGCGGGCAGGCAACAAGACTTTATTTCAGGGGCCGCTGAAATAATGTCAAATTGGGGGTGAAGTACTAGGTTGTTTGCGAGCTTGGTTGTAGGCAGTTTTTAAACGAGACATTCAAGAAAACAAGAGCTTGGGGAAGCTGGACATTTTTGATTTTGGGAAGCAGGCCCAAATCTAACAACAAAGCACGAAGCTTCATAGGTAGTTACGCTGGGCTAGTTGTATATTTGCAGGGGGCCAGACAACAAGACTTTATTGTAGGGGCCCCTGAAATACAGTCTTGGGCTCAAGTTTGGGGGCCTGAAGTACTACCCACCCCCTTTGCAGGTTTGATTGCGGGCAGTTTTTAAACAAGAGACATGTAAGAAACCATGACTTCTTGGGCAGCTCGACTTTTTGATTTTTGGGGAGCTGAAGAACAAGGTACCAAAGATCTAAGGACCAGGTGTTGGCTTGGCTACCTCTCTTCTTCTTTCTCTGTTTGTTCCATTTTGTCATGTTCCTTATACTTTTCGTTCAGAAAACTTGGGCGGGGGTGGCGGGTGCTCGTCTTTATTCCAGGTGCATTTTTTTGGGAGCCACCCATTTGTCTTTATTCCAGGTGCAATGTTTAATCCTAGGTGGACGTTACGGAACGACCATTCAATTGCTAGTGACAGCTATTGTTCGCCGAATACTGTAGCATGCCTTGCAAGCTTGCCTGTTATCATATAAATACTGGACCCTTTGGCTGTAACAGTGTGGGTCTTGGGGCAGTTTAGCGCTGTGAGCAAAGCTTAAAAACAATATGCTTGCTTCACGGCATCAACTTTAAGGGCAACTGGTACATGTTGCGCTGAGTCGCATTAGCCAGAGAACCAAAGTTGAAGAGTTGAAGCAACATGTGAACTTGATCATCTAGGAGGCATGGTGAAACTGAACATACCCGAATTTGCAAAGTATTGTACATCATGCTTAAGACGTTTATTGTGTTGTTTGTAGATTGAAGCAATACTGGGCACATGGCCCAAAGGCACAGAGCTGTGGACAAATACGGAATCACTCCCATCGCGCTGCTACAAAATCTGCGAAAGCTGTCCTTCTGAATTTGTTGCGACAATATTTGTTCATTGAAATTGTACCTTCTTGGACCCTACAGTCGTGAAAGTAGAGTGACATTACATGAACATGCGGTGAACTGCGCATGACACACTGTTTCAAGCCATTAGAAGACCGGGTTTTGCCATGAACAACCGTTTGTGATGTGTGTCGCACAAAGCACACCGCAAACACTAGAAGAAACAACTCGAAATGTCTAGCTCCTGTTTAAGTGATGTTGGTTCTTTGCATTGTCGCAGCGCCCTCCCAAACATCAGTTAGAGTTGTGGTGCACCAAGCCACCTGCTCGCTTCCAAAGGAAACACCTGACTTGGATGCTTTGCGACTCAGTGATCGGCTCCAATGCTAAGCAACACGCAACGGGGCAGCCTTCTCAACTTGTGCAACTCACAAATGTTTGTCTCACACATAAATGCAAGGCTAATAACGCAGCTTGTGTTTTCCCTTGTGTTGCGTTGGCATTCAAGCCGTTTGGGCCAAGGTCAAATTTGGTTTGATGATTTATTTCATGCCAACATCAATGGCATTGAGCAGCTGAGCTGAACCAGGAGGTTTACATTGGGTGATGGCAAGGTCCGCGCCGCTGCTTGAATTGGCACTTGCATCTTTCAAGCAAGCCCTGCACAGTGAACAGCAACGCCCCAAAGAACACCGCTTATCGCGACAACACCGTTAAACAAATCCGCTGATGGACTTTCCGGGCTTTACTTGGCACAGAACCAAAAAAAATGTGTTTTGTTCAAAAAAAGGTGCTTCGACAAAGAATGCAATTCTTTACATTTTGCCCCAAAAAATTGGGGTGGTTTGAGACTCCAGGTTCCAAAGGAGTTGCCATGGCAGCCCTAGCCGGCGCGAGCGCTAGTGTTGCCATGGCAGCTTGGGGTGCCCTTTAACCCCTGTCAGGTTAGGTGTACCCTTCCAACTGCTATGGAAGGTGGGATCTTGCTGGAACCAGGCCCCTCACCTGGCGAAGCAGAGACAACCGCAGGGCGAAGCAAAAAGCAGGGTCTGGCTCAATTGGTCATGGGCTGGCCTGCATTGGGGTGTCAAGGTTGATGCAACTTAGGACCGCCCTGTTAAAGCGAGTGGCGAGAATCTTGGTCTAGAGTTTGGCAGGATTTAACGGGCATGTTGCCCAGGCGCTTATCTCAAGTCACTACACTGGTTCCCACATCTCGGAACAGCTTGGGATGGCCTGTCCTCAATTGCCAGCTTTCATTGCCTACCATGTTCTTACAAAAATCCTGGTAGCTCCGAAAGGCTCCCTCTTACGCAGATATGCATACCTCCCGCTCCTTTACCTTTCAACCAGCAGCTAGTTGCACTCACCCTGGGCGAACGTGCAAACCTGAAACGGGTGGAGGCTCTCGTCAACCTGCTTTGCCCATGACTCAACACAGGTGAGCCACCACACCCGACTGCCCGCTTTTTCACGGATTGCTAGTTGCAGTTGCGCATATATTTGGCTGAAGACGGGACAGGCAAAAAACATGCTCGGCCGTTTTGGTAATTGGTGCTGGGGCATGAGGATGCTCCACTTCGCTGCGAGCAGCACGTCATTTACGGCTAGCCTTGGAGGGTCACTCCTTCCCTTTGTGCATAGCCAACCAGGATCAGCAGCCCATGCCCTTTTGCAGCGACATGCGTTCTTTCCGGCAACTTTGCGCTTGGGCCTCCATTGCCTCTCTGGATTGCTGGCTTGAATTCATGCTTCATGACTCTTGGTCCAAAAGCGCCAAACAACTTAAAACGTAATTCAAATCGTTCATGGCCGAACCTCCACATGCTCAGCCATCCGCAAACCCTCCGAATGAAGCCTAGTGTGACATATGGAGGTTCCCACTCTCCGCTCAACGTGTCATTGCACACCTGCAAAACCAAAAAAAGAAAAGAAAAAGGTCTGACCAGCCGGCTGTGGAGACACACCTCTTCCGCAAGCATCCCTGCCAGAACCCACCCCCAGAATCCAAAGCCGCTGTGCCGAGTGCATGCCAGGCGGCATCGTCGCTTTTGAGAGGTCTAAGAAAAGGATTAGGTCCGAGAGCCTTGCAGGGCCCGCCCAAGCTTAGTGAATCCGCCGCTAGTCGAGCGTGTGGATCGTAGTCAATGTCTGTACGCCCAGTTTATGTGTCTGGACATTGGCAATTGTGGCTCGTCTTTGTTTTGGGCCATGTTGGGCTTTGGGGTGATAGATTTTGGCTTCGGCTGTTGCAACAGGCCTGTAGATCCGCCAATCCGGAAAGTTTCCTCCGATTCCCATGGTCACATGCAGGGTTGCTCAAACCACATCCCCATCATTGCATTGGTTGAGGTCAGATAGGGTGAAGCTGCACTTCTCCGATTGCTTGTTCTGCATTGTGTGTCGGACGTGTGCTTGGCGCACAGCTGTTGAGACGTCACACTGATTGCTACTGATTAGAACCCCCCCCCCTTCCGCTTCGCCGTTGCTAAGCAGGTGTCAACACTAGGGTTGGTACCATGCATAAATATGTAACTATCTATATGTATGTATATATATATATATGGGGGTTGTAGGAAGTCCATGGAAAGTATGGAAGTCCATGGAAATCAGTGGGTGAAGCTCGCCAAAATAATATATCTGTCGAGTGTTGGGATTTTGCCGCTTTGGGCAGACTATCATCAGGGCTTAGTCAGGGGGGTCAAGGGGAGAAGTTCCTGAGGGTTGCGCAGAGCGAATCAGGGGGCGGAGCGAATCAGGGGCGCGGTGGTCCTTGACAACTTGAAACATCAGCGCTCGGTGAGCTAATTATGTGCAAAGCGTTCAGATTCGGGAGTGTCTTGCGAAGAAGAAGGTTGACTAAATCAACTCAAACTAAAAGACGGAAGCGAGTCAAACGGACAAACTTGTTAAACATGGCTATTCAGTGGAGGCCCGCTGGAATAAGCTCCAAGATGTCAAGTTTTGCACCTTGGGCTGGTTCAAATCAAGGGAGCGCAAGGGGGCGGCGGGTAGTCGACTGGATCAAATCAAGGCCCAATCGAAACAGCCTGACGTGCGTCCAAAGGAAAAATGCGAAACATCTTCCGACCCCAGCCCCTCCACCCACCACCCACACACCCACACACCCACCCATCACCCACCAACCCATCCCCCACCCATCCCCCACCCATCCCCACCACTCATCCCCCACCCATCCCCCACCCATCCCCGCCCTTGTTCAACCTTCCCGCCTGGAGCCCATCAAAATCACCTGCGCCGAGTCCATGGTCACCTGCGCGCCTGTGCCGATGGCCACACCTGCAACACCGCACCGCGCGCGCGCCAGCCGCGGGTTTTACCCCGAGGAACATCGACCGGGACCTCGGGCTTCCGAGCGACTTCCCCCAAAAGCGCTTCCCACCCGGAAGGTCATGCCCTGGGCACCAGCATGCGCCCCCCCCCTTTCCGGCAATCTGGTAGGAACAAAAGTTAACAAAGATTGTCCAGCTATGTCCAGATATGTCCAGATCAGGCAGGCCCCCCCCCCCCCACACATCTCAAAATCTATTCTGCTGGCAGATGCCCTCACTTGAATGATGGAAAAAGGCCGTCAGCACCCGACAGGCCTGTGGTCAGGGTCCATGAATGTTGAAAGGAGCAAGCCAGGTTTTGAAAGAATGCTATCTACCCGAGCATTGACACATCATGTCGCCCAGTTGTTGCTTCAAGTCAATGGTTTTTTCCTGTCAATCGCCATGCGGGGGACCCCCCAACAAAACCCGCCTCCTCTACACGCTGTGCGCAAGGGAAAATGATCGGGGGGGGGGGGGCTGCGCGGTAGCCCTTGGCAAAGGAGAAGACTCGCTTCTGGCTGCTTAAGAAGAGGAACCAAGTCAACAAGATCACCACCAGCCTGGTGCAACCTGGTGTAATATTACCTTCAGATCAACCTCAAGGACTAAAACAACAATCTGGGGTGGCGCCCGTGTTAGCAAGGGCATTGTCTATGTTCGGGGGTTCCACCGACTAGCAGGGTCCTCTGGGATAGCCGAAGTAAACATTATGTCACAGCCCTTTGCATTGCGGCTTTGGCTGTGCCTCCTAGGTCCCAAAGCCGATGCAATCAGAAGCACCCGTTACATCATGCCAACTGCTTGCCTTACCCCGTCTGATCACCTGGGCTGCGTCCGGAGGCGTCCGGCCTACGGACGCGCTTGCCAACGCTGCTGCATCATTGAGGCCGTCCCCCACCATGAGGACCTGTGAATTTCTCGCCACTTTTTGCTGGTCTCAACTTGGGCTGTTCAAATTGGGCTGTTCAAAATGGAGGGTTGGCCAATCCTAATCAATAATCCCGATAGGGAAGCCGCTACAAAGGGGACCCCTTGCGTAACCCAAGATAAGGATTAGGGATTACCTTTGAACAGCCCAGCAAAATGCAGGGTTGGCCAACCCTCATCCACCCGCACTGCAAGTCACTGGGTTTCCCCTACAAAAGCTGCAGCGTACTGGTTCCTCTGAAGCGGCCACCCTTGGTGGCCAAAACAAGGGAAATTCAGCGCACATGAGAATCAAACCACTGAAGCTAGCTCCCTTACAGGATGATCATTAGGAAACTCAAGGTTGCTGCGAATCGTAGAAAAGCCTGAACATTTGCATCTCTGGCATGTAGCTGCGCAATGCCTTGCCGTCCAACCGAATTAGTACTGAGAGTTGGACAACTTGGACTGCTTCCAGCTAGCAAAGTCATGTTGGGTCTGCTTTAATAGGCTCCTCCCACCCTGGAATAGTGCAAACAGGGCCTGGGGTTGGATCTTGACTGGCCGAGTAAGCGTTGCCAATTGCCAAGACTTTGACCTTTGACCTGGGAAGAACTTAGGATCAACCACCCTTTAAAAGCAAAAGTCTACGGAATTGATCTGGCAATTTCCCCAACCTCCAAGCAAGTTGGACATTATATAAAGCAGTCTGATTGAACAGCATGGGCCTCTCTTGTGCGACCTTTGCGCGACTGTCTGGCCTTATATACTTATTTAAATAGAACGTTATCTTAAACTTGATAGTTTTGGGACCCCTTCAAGAAAGGCGTTCCTAGTGTTTGCCCGGATTTGTTTGCCCGGATGTTCTTTGCCCGGATGTTCTTTGCCCGGATGATCAGGATGATTGATTGTTTTCTTGTTTGCTTCCGGCAAACCATGGTAATAAAGCGAGCCTCGAAACAGTCACAGAATATCACATAGTTCTGCATCAGGCAAACAATTTGATACAACAGCGAACCCAAATTTAAGGCCGCCACAACATTAATCACAAACAATCATCCACAAACAAACACGGGGCACTGTTCCAAACCAAAACAACATTGACAAGGATTTGCTTTGGACAGCCCAAAAGCCAGGGACCCAAATGCCGTCCAAATACATAAGGGCAGAACGCCAAACAAACAATCCTCCTGCGAATCATTAACACTAAACATGTGCAGGCATCAAGGCACCAACGCCCCGTGCGGAGCCTGACACAAAGTCGAAGAAACCCATGCAAAGGATGAATCTTGGCACACAGCCATTGGGGCTGTATTGAAGCGCATGGCATGTGACATCCCAAGCAAACAAAAGTAGCCTCTCTGCTGCAATGGCAAGCCCGGTCTGCAAAAAAAACACATGGCCATGGGTCAAAAGCCCGTAACCCAGTGAACATCCCAATCCCCACTAAAATCCCAACTAACATGGGTGGTGAATTCACCTACCCCAACATGGGATCCCAAAACGGTTTTGACAACCACAGCCACATGGGCCGAGATCGAACCCTGAACCCAGAAATTTGCGACCAGGCGCCGGCGCTTTTTTGGAGAGCTCCTGCAAGCAAGTTCTCCGAACAAACAGAACCCCGCTTCGGATTTGGCCATGGGTCAGAACCTATGATAACCTATGCATTTCTCCATTTCGGGGCAAATGAACACCCATGTACCACCTATTTTGATGTTCACCAGGGGTATAGGGTTGTGACCCACAGCCATTTGAACATCAAAGGCATGGAGTCGTCCAGAGCATGTTGAGCTCGGCCGGAATTTCCAAGCGCTTGAAGGGCCAGCGGAACAAGCGAATGGCAAACGGAGGGAGGCAAAGACAGAGGCCTCTCCCATTCAATGCGGATGTCGTGTAATTTCAGCAGGCCCCCAAACTCCAGCCGATCCTTGCAACGTGCAACCCATTCTCTTGATTCAAACGGACCTGAAGCAATCGAACCTAAAAGGTGCCCCAAAAATGGCGGCAGTGCCATCCGGACATCGGGTTGAAGGGCGGAGGGGGGCCCCCTCCTCCACCAGCTTGGCTTTCGCCTGCGGGCTGCAAGCCGCCATCACCCGCTCCTTGGCAATGCCCACCTTCGACGCAACCTGGCAGGGCAAACGCAGGGAAATCCAGGAGTGGACACCTAGAAGAAACCAAGGGGGATACCAGGGAAGCCCCGAAAATTAAGGGGAAACCCATGGAAACCCAAGGGAAACCAAGGAGAAACCAAGGAGAAACCAAGGAGAAACCTAAGGAAACCAAAAAAATAGAGGGGAAGTTCACCTAGGCATAGCTTCAAGATGCGGGGACACTCCTCAGCTGGCAACTCACTATCTCACTTGGCTTCTGCTTCACATTCCTGATTTGCCATTGGAGCGGGTAGGCATGAATGGACAAGCTGCCTAGAAAGCACAACATTCATCTCGGCCATCTTCGCCACATGCCACTGCTCGGCCAAAGGTTGCATGCATGCGTCACTCCCTAAGTATGCTCCCGACCAGCAAAAACAATACAAACAGCAAACACATAGGCATAACGGAAGCTTGTGGGTCCTCTAATAACGCTTTGTGAGACAGTTTTGGCATTGACTCTTTCCTCTGACCCATACCTTTCAAAGAGATAATCGGCAGAAACTCAAACCACCCGGCAATGAAACAAGTGCTTGCCACTTTGACTGGCAAGGCCAAACTGCCCAACACAATTGAAACAAGCCAGGGACCCGTTCGACGGGCTCTGCTAAAACGAACCGATCACTTGTGTCAAAAGACCTAACTAAATGCGTGCAGCATCCGAAAGAAGCCCATTTGGGTGTGTCTGTTTTGAGGCTGCCCCGTGTTTACTCTTCTGCTTTTTGGTCTTCTTTTTTTGGGTGTGGCTCAGGGAAATGAACCAAAAGGAAACCCGAAACCCAATAGGGGTGCAACCTGTCCAAAACCGAGCCACCCCGTTAGAACCCAACTGGGCCACCGAGGTGCCGCGTGGGCGGTGCGGGGCTCGTCCCCTGTGCAGAGCCACACCTGGAAGCCAGCGCGGTGCAGATCAGACACCTCGAGAAGCTGCGAAACCCACGGGATACCAAGCGGTTATCTACGGATGCCCAAAAATTGCAAGCAAAGCCACCACAAACCATGGGGAATTTACAGGGTTGCCTACGGATTCCTAAGCAAACCAACCGCCACCCAGTTTTGCTATGTTTTGTTGCAAGCTCCTCGCTGCTTGAAGACGGGCTAGGGCCTAGTTCTTCAAATATGTCTTTCGCAACCCCTGCTCGAGTCGGCACAAGCGGCGCCTGGGCGGCTAATGCCAAGGGGGAAAGAAGAACCCTAACCAAGGCAAGGAATGCCTCAGCCACGTGGAATGCCGTCAATGCAATGATCACCTTACTTCATCTTGCAGAATGTAATTGCCGATTTTGGACAGGAGAGCCCATCTCCGAATTGTCCAGCACAAAAAATATAGTACTGGTAGCATGCTAATTAGCCAACAAGCCCGCATGAGTGAGGTTTCGTGTTCGGCACCTGTTCCCTTTGGCTAAACAGTGCCTTTTTGTGGTGGATTGTCTAGAGCTTTGTCTCATGCAGCGTTCCGTCGATGGCTCATGTAGAAAGGCTTGCGTTGGCATGCTCTCAGTCATCCGTCATGTTGTGTGGCGGCACTGGCACCGCTGTGGTGCAGTGGTAGAGGTTGCAATCCGCCGTGCTATGCCACTGGCTGGGGTTAGCTTGAGCTTCCGCATGCTTTGGGAGTTGGAACGGTTTTCATCACTAGGCACACGTAAAGTCACCAGTGTGATGCCTCTTGAGACGGCTGAGAACGAATTGACATCGACTAGGGGCTGAGCAACATATTTGTTCGTCACTGCGGTGAGCAAACATTCAATCGGTGAGCTTTGATTCCTACAATATTTCCGGTTGGTGGGGAAGAACAAGAGTCGTTGCCCCAAAGGGACAACTAACAACCAAAAAGCAACGTGGAACCACAGGACAAGTAGGGATCAAGAGGAAAATCAAAGTCCAGGCTTCTTCCCACTACAATCCAATGCCAGCGACGTGGGCAAGCCTTACTTGCACAAATGCGAGCAACGCTTGCAATTCTGATCGTTGACCAGTGTCCGACGCCCCTCTTGAACAATGGGAAAAACCAGCCAGTCTTAACTATCCGCGGTACTCAACATAGGAAGGTGGCATATTTGACTCTGTCCTTCACCATGCTTTACAATTGACTTAGCCAAGCAGAACAAGGTTTCACGTTTGACCCTCCGGCCCTCCGACTTCCCATAGCCCTCGAACATTGAGCGACTCGAACATACCAACATGGTCCAACCTGTTTGTGGGACTTTATTTTCTAACAAGCATGTTCTGGGCGCCCTCCAATGGAGTAAGATCATTTATTAATCCCTCAATTTTCAAAAACAAACAGCTCAGCAGGCGACTCCAGCTTCCGGAAGCCATTCGGCCCCCTCTGGGCGAAAAACATGTTTTGAAGATTCGCCTGGGTATGTCCAAATCGATAATCGATGAGCGGTTTTCCGCTTTGGAGAGCTGTCCTTACCAGGCAAAACCTGGTACCCTCGGAACAAACAAAAAAAGGACCCCCCAAAAAAACATCTGCCATAACCAGGTAAGCACCCTCGGAAAAACGGGACCCCCCAAACTCTGCCCCCCCCCCAGACCCCGTCACCCTCCCTCCCTCCCTCCATCCGCCGAAGCCGTGGGGCCGCTTGCTGGGAGCACTCCTGGAGCTCATCGCGCAGCGCCAGCAGCGCGCAGGGCTGCTCCGCCACGTCCAGGGCGACCACCACCTCGGCGACGCGAGCCACGCGAGCCCGGGGGGGGGCATTGCTTCACCGTGTCATGGGGGGCTAATTTGAACTGGGCTGCCCGTTTTCTGATCCACTAAAAGTTTAACTTTTGGTGGGTTAAATAGAAACGACCACTAAACACTAAAAAACTACACCAAGTGAACTCTGGGCCAGTTCGAACCATCACCTACCCCCAGTCAGAACTATGGAGCCCAAACTGCCTCGCCTTGGGCTGCCGTCGGTGGAGCCTGGAATCCAGGTTGGGGGGCATTTAAGCACTCAGCGACTTCGCCGGCACCGGCTGGCATGGGCATGGGTGGACTGCCTCAGGCTGCAGAAACTGCCCTGCCCACTTTCCTTTATGAGGTGCCCTCCCCACCCACCCCGCAAGATGGAAAGGATCAGTGCCTCTATTTTCTGGACCCGACATATCACATAGAGCCAGTCTGGCCACACTGCATCTTGGATGTTCAGCCCATTTCGGTTGGCACGATGGTTCCAAAGGGACTAGCCCCAGTTCCTCGAATTAAAACCATTGACCAGCAAAACTGCTTGCAGGTACGAATTGAGCAATATGTTCATACATATAGCTACTATATGAATCAATTGCATTTGATGTAACATTGAATATGAACAGAGAGTTCTACATGTACATATTATATATAGTCCAGAAACATATTCACATATACATACATATATATATATATATATATCTAACTAGTTATATTCTCAACATGTCTGGAGAGTTTAATTCAAAGAGCTAAGCGTGTTGAACGCCGTGCGCACCTTGAGCCTGTGGGGCCCCCTGCGCAGCCCTCCGCCTGCCGTTGCTGCCACTCCTCCGGCAGCGCGCCCGAGGGCCGCCCGCAGCGCACAAGGCCCAGACCGGGCACACGGCAGCTCACGCCTGAAGAGCCAAAGGAGAAAGACATGCAACTTGCACTCACTTCCTGAGTGGGAACCCCAAAAAAGAGTCTGAACATCTGCAATGTTTTCTCTACAATTCCAGAAGCGAACTGGAGAATTGGATCCCCATGGGACCTTTACCATGGCTTTTGCTTGTTATGCCCGTAGGTGGAGAGCTCGCTATAAATAGGCAAATACATGCAACTTACAAGTATGGCCGAATATGCACGTTGTGAAGTATGCTATATATATATATGTGTGTATGCATTACGTAACATATGCAGGTCCTTTTCGTAAGCATAGACCGCCTCCTAATGAAGCCTAGCCGCAAACACGTGCATGAGATTGTAGGAAGGTGGGGCGGACTAGAGTGGGCTTGCGTTGTAAAGACTTGGCAATGCTCAAGCCTACATTGTGTCATTTGGGTGGGGGGAAGGCCCGAACCTTTCAATTTGGGTGTGTGCCGAGCCCAATTGGCAAGTGTGCCAAGCCCTGCCCCGCAACCATGTTGCATTGGGGATAAATAAACCTAGCGCACCTAGCGCGAAAAGAACATGCAACTACATGGGCAGCTTCCCCGCATGCAACCACTGAACCAGTGAATGATCTTGCCACCGTCTCGCGTGCCTCTTGGGTCGTGTGCTGAAAGCATTTGCAAGCGCGAGGTATCAGCGGTGTTTCTTGCTTTCGAGGTGTTCTGCTCATCCGCTAAGTTGATTAATCCAGGGTGGATATTTCCAGAACCTGAGTTGTTCAAAATGCGGGGGAGCATGCAGGAGCGCTTCTTGCCCTCCAACATGGAAGCTGACAGGAGGGTTTTGGAAGACTACTTTCCTTTTGGGCAACCCCTTTGTCCACTTCCATGATTGTTACAAAGGGTAACCTCTTTTCCGCAACCCCTAGCGGGGCGCCGGCAAAGAATCATTTCCATCTGGCACGGCAGGCCTTGGCCCGGTTGGTGCTGGAAATCCTCGGCCGCTGCCACGGTTTCGCACACCGACTCCGCCCAGAGCCGCAAGGCCTGGCCAGGCCGTCTATTCAACAAGGAGAAGATTGCGCCCGTCTTTCACTGGGTAATATGACAAAGCACAAACATAGAACCACATTGTGTTAGACACATATTGTGTAGGGAGATATGTGCATGAATATACATATATATATATATATATGTATAGATTGATGTATAATTATGCATGCGCATCTGTGTAGATAGATGCTTGTGACTTTGCCTCTGCATATACAGCATACGTGTTACACGATGGTAGTGTGTTTTGAACTACACCCCTCCAGGTTACAATACGCCGCTTGCCAGCCAAGAGGGCACCAACTTGAGGCGCAAAAACAACGGGACCCTAGGGGAAACCCCAGAAGAGCGAAGGAACCCCGCATGTGGTTTTCTTTGGGTCTTAGCCTATTTGTGTCTGCCCTGTTGGGCAGACAGATTGGGCGAACATGGTGGAACAACATATGCTGCAGAGCATGATTTGGGAAACGTTGGCTTGGAGGTCACTGCACGTCAACCAGAACATTCCTTGAACAATAGTGTTCCGACTGCACCGCCATCATGCGCGCTCATGGGCGAAGCGCAGGCATCAGGATGTCCAACGTCTGGCACAAATACCCAGGCGGGCTCAAGCCATCACAGCGAAAAGGAAAGAAGCGAAGATTGGAAAACATAAACACATCATGAAACATCCATATAAACGATTTCTTCTGAGATGCACTTTTTGCGACTGAAGTGTTCCCGATTTCGCCGTTGTGTGTTCTGCGGCTTTGGCTTTGTCACATGTGCATTCAGCACCCCCCCCAAAAAAAAACATCAGCAGCACATGAAGCTATGAAATCCAACCAACTAAACTCGGTTGAAGGTTCTGAGGCATTGCCAGCACATGCCGCCACTATGTCTGGCAGAAGCCCGTGAGGGCAAGGAATGGTCAAAAGAACAAGTGGTTTCATGCATCTGTGCAAATCAAATGCTGCATACACTGAAGGACAAGGAGAGACTATCTGAAGCTTTGTAGGGATAAAACTTAAGACTTAAGATTCCCAACTTTCGCGTTCATGCCCCAAGCCTTCAAAGGGTCCGACAGGGTAAACCAGCACCTGCCTAGGAAACAAGCTTCACAAACAGAAGCAAAACACAGCCACAGGCTCGAAATGCCACAAGGGCATGCTTCAAGACGTGCCTCTTGCAATTCGAACTGCATAGACAAGACGCGGCCTTGCGAAACCTTCACTCACGTGCTGAGCGCTGACCACTTCCCCCTCTCAGCGCGGCACCTCTGCCAAGGGATGCTCGCTGGTGGACTCCACAGCTCTCAGAAGCCTTAGCAACTGCGTCTAGGGAGCTGAACGCTAGGTGTTGATTAAATACAGGCATACTGCCCCCCGTCTTTCTCAAGTAGGTCCTCCAGTAGAGAGGTTAGAACAAGGGTGCCCTTTTTTCTGTAGTCGATTTTAGTAGGGGAACCCTCCCCCAAAAAAGGGGAGAGAAGGGCACTGCTAAAAAAAAAAACTAGGGCATACTGCCCCTTGTCTTTCTCAAGCTCTGGTTTTGAGGCTGAAGGTGGCACTTTCAGCGTCGTCGGCCTTCGGGGGCAGCGCTGGGTGGGACACAACTTGTGGATGCATCCATCCATCAGCAGCTCGCCAGTTACGCAGCTAGACGTCTTTAAACCCAAAAAACAGTCCTTCAACAGTAGGGCTGGCCATTGTCAGATTCACCCGGAATGAAGCAACCATGCGCAGAGTTGTGCTTGGCATCTATTCGTCACAAGTTGCGGGTGCCACTCAAACGATCAAAAGGGGACAAAATCCCCGCTGTATGAAGATTCAAACCAGCGGATTCTGCAGATTCTGAGGCTAGAACCAGCCGATGAAGGCCGACTCTCTTGCACTTTCCTCCTGCCCGCAATGTCGTCCAGAACATGAACCGCATGGATATATTTGCAGCGGCGGTCAGCGATTCCTCGATGCAGCGGATCCATGGCAGAAACTTAGATGAGATCTGTGGATTCCGCTCACCCCGCGAGGTCCTCAGCCTCACACCGTCATCAAGTCCTCCAGTAGAGAGGTTAGAATTAAGGGTACCACCTTTTTTTCTGTATTCCCAACCCTCCCCAAAAAAATGAATGGTACAAGGGCACCACTGGGGGACCTAGCTCATCCCCCTCCCCTCATGCGACCAACGAGTCGGCTCCGCGCTCCTTGCCCTTGCGCCCCAGCGGCGCCGAAGCTTTGGCCACCGGCCCAGCCGCGCTCGAGGCCGCCGCGCCTCGAGAAGAAACAAAGGAAGGGTTTCATCGGCCACGCCGCGAACACATCAAGGGTGGGTGGGGGGGAGGGTGGGGGGGAGGGTGGGGGGGAGGGTGGGGGGGGGGGGGTGTGGGGGCGGTGGCGTGGGTGGGGCGGGTGGGTTTCATCGGCAAAGACGGTTTTCTACCCCCCCAGGTGAAAAAAATCCTGGCTCTCCAAAGTCAGCTTGCTGACTAGTGCCCGACCGTTCATATCCAAACCAACTAACCCGCTTCACCAACTCAGATGGCCTGGCAGCAAAGACACGGCCACCACCTGCAACAAGCGCCAGTGCCATGTGTGGCGCGTGAGTTGCTCTCCCAGAAACGGCCATCGCAGTGGATCGTCCCGGAGGGAAAACTGGGTGGTTTCCATGTCCTCTCTTTGCATGCGTATTGACAGCATGAGTTGGAAGCAGTATATGGCATACAAGTGGCCTGCGAATGACATTCCGGTCCACAACCTCCGGCCGTGTCAGTTCGGAGAAACCCGCACTCGCAAAGTCAAAGCAAGCTTCACTTCGAGTGACCTCACGTCCGGAGCTACCGGAAGGCCCCGAGCTTCTATCCGTCGGGCTGTCTTCCTGTTGGCGCTTTTGGGTTTCCAAGTTCTTGTCAATTTGCTTGCTGTTTGTTGCCAAGAAAAATGTAGCTCCGCAACCATTCGGTTGTTTAGGGATTTGTTGAAAAACAGGCCCCAATCCCAAGAAGCCAGGAGATTCAAAATTGAAGGAAATCTGGGAGTTGAAATACCTTGACCAAACAAATACACCAGTACATGTTGGAAAACTTGGAAAAAGAAAAACACAAGCAAGTTGCCAATGCAAGCAGAAGCCAATCTTAGCAAAAGGAAGCGTAAAGCTTCAACTTGTCCCTTGCTTTTCAGTCTGAGCATCCAACATCTTCGATTCCGGAGTTTGTTGCGAACGGCACGTAATCATTTCACCTGCGCATCGTCGAGAGATGGAGGCTCACCTCCAGAATTTGCACGAAACCCGGACTCTTGTCGGGGAGCGGCCACTGCTCAATGACTCAATCAGTCAGAGGCTCACTGGCTTGTCACAGAGCCATCCCATGAGTTTCAAGCTTTGACAAAACTATCGACACTGACGTCAAAATGTAGCACAGCCATGAAGAACTGAAAGGAATGAAAGGACCACCTTGGCCAAGTACCACCAACAAGTGCACATGGCATCAAGTTGTGCTCAAGTCGCTTTACTTCATGTTCCAAAACTCCTCCGGCTCTGGGCTTTGGGCGCAGGGTTCCAAAGGCCGCGAGAGCCCGAGAGAGTTGGAGAGTCGATTCCGCGCCTGGGGCTTGCCCTTGGTGATGGTGCCCGTCTTGTCCAGCACCGCCACCTTCAACGAGCCCATCTTCTCCCAAACCACGGAGTCCTGGCGCAACGATTTTAACCACGCGGTTCACGTGGCACGGGGTCAAGTGGTTGACCAACCATCAAACCCCTGAGAACGGAACTCCATTTTGAGGGGCTGCACAAGCCAAAGAGACTCTTGAACATTGGTTGGCTTGCTTCCAACCCTGGATGGATGGCTGGGTAGGTGGGTAGGTGGGTGGCCGGGTGTATGGGTGGAGAGGGGAAAACAATGAACATTGGCAAATACTTGGTAGCCAAAAGCAACCAGCTTCGTCATGTGTTGCCTCCCAAGCTTCCCGAGCTCAGCCGACTGGCAGAGTTGACACACTCTTCACTCAGGTTCCCAAGAATCATCTGCAGATCCTGCAAAAATCACTCATGCTCACTCATGTTCACTCATATTCACATGAGACTCTTCGCTCTTTCAAAACCCCGAGTGTTGCCTTGACTTACTGCAAGCTGTCGTCAAACTGCCACACCTCAAGCAGCGTATTTGCAACATATTGCAGCTTTGATGTTCTTTGCCCAGGGCCCGCGTGTGTGCTTAACTCTTACCCTCTAACACATTAAAGTTTCTCGGGGGTTCCCACCCCAGCAATGGTGGGTTGGCAAGATCCACAGTGGACACCATGCAAGCCATGCCGCGAGCCTTGCGGTCATGGTTCCGTAAAACTCCATCCCTGAATAAGTAACGTCCTTCATTTGGTACATGTCATCCGCATTTGTTTGCTTGGCTTCGTGGCCGGGCAAGTACCAATTTAGCATGCGACAGTAGCTTTTACTGTCCAATTCTGAGTTTCTTTGCTGAGTCCGTGCTGGCTCCTCCAGTAGAGCGGTTTTATTTCGGGTACCAACTTTTCTCTCTAGTCTATTGTAGTAGGGGAACCCCCCCAACAAAAAAATACACCAGCATAGACCCAAGATAGCACACCACGGATACGAACCATGACGCAGCATTATCATGATGATGTAGACCATGATGACACCACAGCCACGAAACAAACGCGCAGACAACGTCCTAATGAGATCAGCAGCATAATGATGATTTTAAGAGCAATCCGGCAGGAAAAAGCAAAAACGAGGTCCTGATGAGTTCGACAGCATCATGATGATGCGGACAGCATCATGATGATGCGGACAGCATCATGGTGATGCGAACAGCATCATGCTGATGGTAAAGGCAGCATCATGATGATACCACAGCCACGAACCATCTTGCGACAGCTTAATGAAATTCTGCATCATCCTGATGTTGACAGCATCACGGCGCCACTACACCCACACACCATAACGTGGGAACATCATGACGATACACCAGCCACGAACCGTTACACGCCGACAGCATCCACCAGCACCCCAAACATGCCCCCTAGCACCCGGTACAACCAAAGCAGCATCCACCCGCGCCTCAAACTGCATGCCCCTTAGTACCCGGCCGTCAAGCTCGCAAAGCAGCATCCACCAGCACCCTAAACTGCATGCCCCCTAGAACCGGCCGTCAAGCTCGCAAAACAGCATCCACCAGCACCCCAAACTGCACGCCCCTTAGCACCCGGCCGTCAAGCTCGCAAAGCAGCATCCAGCAGCACCCTAAACTGCATGCCCCCTAGAACCGGCCGTCAAGCTCGCAAAACAGCATCCACCAGCACCCCAAACTGCATGCCCCTAGCACCCGGCCGTCAAGCTCGCAAAGCAGCATCCACCAGCACCTGAACTGCATGCCCCCTAGCACCCGGCCCTCAATCTCGCAAAGCAGCATCCACCAGCACCTCAAACTGCATGCCCCCTAGCACCCGGCCGTCAAGCTCGCAAAGCAGCATCCACCAGCACCTCAAACTGCATGCCCCCTAGCACCCGGCCGTCAAGCTCGCAAAGCAGCATCCACCAGCACCTCAAACTGCATGCCCCCTAGCAAAGCTGCAAACTGCATGCCCCCTAGCACCCGGCCGTCAAGCTCGCAAAGCAGCATCCACCAGCACCTCAAACTGCATGCCCCCTAGCACCCGGCCGTCAAGCTCGCAAAGCAGCATCCACCAGCACCTCAAACTGCATGCCCCCCAGCACCCGGCCGTCAAGCTCGCAAAGCAGCATCCACCAGCACCTCAAACTGCATGCCCCCTAGCACCCGCCAGCACCTCAAACTGCATGCCCCCAGCACCCGGCCGTCAAGCTCGCAAAGCAGCATCCACCAGCACCTCAAACTGCATGCCCCCTAGCACCCGGCCCTCAATCTCGCAAAGCAGCATCCACCAGCACCTCAAACTGCATGCCTCGCAAAGCAGCATCCACCAGCACCTCAAACTGCATGCCCCCTAGCACCCGGCCGTCCTCGCAAAGCAGCATCTGCAGCACAAGCAGGCAAACTGCATGCACGGCCGTCAAGCTCGCAAAGCAGCAGCACCTGCACCAGCACCCGGCCCTCAAACTGCATCCACCAGCACCCAAACTGCATGCCCCCTAGCACCCGGCCGTCAAGCTCGCAAAGCAGCATCCACCAGCACCTCAAACTGCATGCCCCCTAGCACCCGGCCCTCAATCTCTCAAACTGCATGCCCCCTAGCACCCGGCCGTCAAGCTCGCAAAGCAGCATCCACCAGCACCTCAAACTGCATGCCCCCGAGCACCCGGCCGTCAAGCTCGCAAAGCAGCATCCACCAGCACCTCAAACTGCATGCCCCCTAGCACCCGGCCCTCAATCTCGCAAAGCAGCATCCACCAGCACCTCAAACTGCATGCCCCCTAGCACCCGGCCGTCAAGCTCGCAAAGCAGCATCCACCAGCACCTCAAACTGCATGCCCCCTAGCACCCGGCCCTCAATCTCGCAAAGCAAACTGCATGCCCCCTAGCACCCGGCCGTCAAGCTCGCAAAGCAGCATCCACCAGCACCTCAAACTGCACTCTCCTGTCAAGCTCGCAAAGCAGCACCCCTGCAGCACCCGGCCGTCAAGCTCGCAAAGCAGCACCCACCAGCACCCCAAACTGCATGCCCCCTAGCACCCGGCCGTCAAGCTCGCAAAGCAGCATCCACCAGCACCTCAAACTGCATGCCCCCTAGCACCCGGCCCTCAAGCTCGCAAAGCAGCATCCACCAGCACCTCAAACTGCATGCCCCCTAGCACCCGGCCGTCAAGCTCGCAAAGCAGCATCCACCAGCACCTCAAACTGCATGCCCCCTAGCACCCGGCCGTCAAGCTCGCAAAGCAGCATCCACCAGCACCTCAAACTGCATGCCCCCTAGCACCCGGCCCTCAATCTCGCAAAGCAGCATCCACCAGCACCTCAAACTGCATGCCCCCTAGCAACCCAGGCCCTCAATCTCGCAAAGCAGCATCCACCAGCTCCTCAAACTGCATGCCCCCTAGCACCCGGCCGTCAAGCTCGCAAAGCAGCATCCACCAGCACCTCAAACTGCATGCCCCCTAGCACCCGGCCGTCAAGCTCGCAAAGCAGCATCCACCAGCACCTCAAACTGCATGCCCCCTAGCACCCGGCCCTCAATCTTGCAAATCACTTTCCCCTCTTTATTAGAAATTAGAACCCCTATAGCTTTCAGCTATCTGGGGAAAAATGGGGAGGGGGCACCCTCCCAACCAAAAAGAAAGGGTAGAGAAGGGCACGATCCTGGGGGACCTAAGGGAAGGACTGCATCCTTCCAGCCCCGAAGCGTCGGCGAGCCGAACTGATCCGAATCTGTGGCCTTCACGAGGCAGCCATGCTTCGCTGCGAGGCCCGTGGCGACCATGATGGCAGTGGGCCTAAAGCCGAAAGCCGAAAGCCGAAAGCCGAAGCCGTGCCCCAAGCTATGAGGGCTTAGTTGCCGAAGCTAGGGCTCAGTTGCGAAATCTGCTCTGCTAACAGTGAATAGCTTTTAGTGGTTTAGTGGAAAACCCATTAGTTGGCGTCCCAACATCCAAGCAAAATGCACCAAAGAGGTGATTTGAGGTCTTTCGCAGCTCACTTCCGAACGAGTGGATGGCCCAGAAAAAGTAACCAAACTTCTTAGTTACACCAAAAATGGTCTTACCCAAAAGTTTCAAGTCCATGAACTCAGGGAGTGAGGGCATTGGATTGAAAAACTTCGGTGACCGTGCCATCGCAGCTGGTCCCTAGCTCTCGCCGTTACCTTGGACCTGCTTTCCTGAAATGGACAAGACTGGGGGCAAAACAATCAACAAGCGGAAGCCCAAGGCCAAGGAGGCTTCCAACGAGGCAGTCTGAGGGCTAGGTGCAAATTGTCGTCACATGGGCTCCTGGTATCAAAGGCTCAGTCTGAAACGCGTCAACGATGGGGAATACAGCCTGGCATAGGTAACCCTTTGGACAAATAGATGGGGCTTCCCCGGTCAATGGGGCATAAAACCCATCTAAACCAGTGATATCTATGTCTGACCCCCCCCCCAAAAAACAAAAAAACAAAAACAAAAACGCAGCGCCGCTGACTTGCCGCTGTCAGCTAGGCACCCGGCGTGGCGAGGCCGAAGGAACAGGGGCAGGCGATGACCAAGACACTCACCGCCCTGCGGATCGATGGATAGGCAAGCCTCGTGGTCCATGTCCATGTACCGCACATGGGTTTAGGGTTTAGGGTTTATGGTCAATGTTCAGTGGGCAATAGCCGGGTGGCCAGTCATTCAAAGGAACGCATTAGTATTCGATGCTAGGACGCCCCCTCCGAAGCAAAAACAACAATAATCAGGGGTCATGCAGTCGTTGATGCCCGTTGCCCCCAATGACTGCCGCAAACAGGCTCTCTCCCAATGTCCTTCAACCCCAGTTTGGCGCAATAGGAATTGTCCCACGTCATCAACTTGGGCAACGTGTGAAAAATCCCAACAAGACATCCAAAACAACCTGGCGAACTGGTTTCTTCCTTTTGTCAGCATCTCCTGGCTCACAGCGACTGGTTTCCTTTTTTTCTGAACATTTTTGGCTTTTTTTGCAGACCAACACTTTCGTGGACCTTGTGGAGTAGGCAGCGCGTGTCCAAGTGACCTGTTCAGCATGCTTGGCTCAACAGCCAAATTATGCTCGGCTTGTTGATCCAAGTGAAACTGCGCAATGCGGAAAAAAAACGGATGAAAACGACGACAGCCTGCAACTGTAGCTACCGGGTCCTTGCAACAAAAAAAACAGGGTGCTCAACCTACGTTAGAACAAACAAACAAACAAACAAACAAACAAACAAACAAACAAACTAACCAAACAGTGAGAACGCGTTTCGCTGGTTTCTAGCAACTCCCCAGATTCACATGGATCCAACCAATAGCACCAGTAGAGAGAACTCCGAACCCTCCAACATCCAACTCAGCCTGGTGATGGAAAAGGTGAAGTCCTCCAAATTCTGGGCCTGCGGGGTTTTCCAACGCACAGGGAAGCAAAGTTCCTCTCGACCGGGCTCTGATATCATGATTGTTGTGTAATGTGTATGTCATATGATATATATATATAAACATATATATAAATGCGTATATAGATATTCGCACATACATACAAACATGCGTACATAATATATTCAATATGTGTACGTATTTTGTCTACACGTGCATGTTCAATCCTTTTGTGACAAGGGACTGTGCTAGGCTTCGGTTTGAGGCTGGGCTTTAACATTTCAGGGGCCCTCCATAAATCAGTCCATTGGAAGAAACCAACTGCAGGAAATTCTGCGGGAATTGCTTTGTGGGTGTTTGGCAAATTTCTCGGGGACTTCCTGTAGCTGCTTTCTGGGACTAATGGAATCATGACACCGGCTTAGACCTAGAAAGAAAGCACTGCCGAATTATGCCAATCCTTGGAAAGCACAACCACCAATCATGATAATAGAACAATGCAAGTCCGTGAATCGGTGCAAAGCAGAGGCCCATGGCAGCGGGACCAGGGTTTGCAAACAACAAACGACTCTTAGCCTTTGTTCGGACTCAGATCGCTCCTGCCCAAGCCTCTAAGCCACTATATGCCCGTCTAAACCACTGTGCGGGCTTTGCTCCCTCCAGCCTTTTAGCCTCTAAACGCCGCTAAGCCGACATACGCCCCTACGGTCCTCTAAGCCTCAGTTGTTGTGTGGTGCGTGGCTATGGCGGGTACTCTGATAGAAGGCGTGCTAGCCTTCATCCACCGGCTGACTCCCACAAATGGGAAGATCAGGTCTGGTTTGTTGGGTCCCGATTTCGTCTGCTGGCTGATGGCTCATCTTAAGAGCGGGATTGAGGCAAGAATGGAGATTACCTGTTTTTCGAAGCCCGATGCAGGCCACCCCAACCCCAAGCGCAGGCTCCACGTGCAGGATAGTCGGACTGGGCTTTGTCTCTGCTATACTGGGGCTCGGGCTAGGACTTCCACCAATTACGCAACAAATGCTTGTTCATCAGCTGTTGCAGCAGCGCAGGATGGTTTTTCAGAGTGGCCAGAAGCACAACTTATGTGCCAGATCAGTCGAATGCTCTGAAGTGAGCACCTGTTCCAGCCGGCTTGGGGTCTTGTGCTTTTCTCGGGGCAACGGCAGATCAACCGCCAGGTCTGACATCATTTCATTTTGGGTCGGAAAGGCCTTCCAGGTCGAAGCACGTCAACAGCATTAGTTCCAAGTAGCAAGAAACAACTGAGAACTGTGGAGTGTGAACGTGAAACATGCTCATCGAAGCAATTCTTGCAACCACAAATTCATGTGCTAGTAAGAAGGCAACTTCCATGGCACCTGCATAGCCAAAGGCAACCAAACACATCTCAGAAAATCTGTTTGATGCGCAAAAAAGAAGGCAACCCCCCACGGCACATTGCATAATCAACCGCAACGTGTCTCCTCAAAGTTTGAGTGCCACTGCGGACGAAATCCCAATGGCACATCACCGAAACAGTTCTTGCAAACGCAAGGTGGGAATGTCTGACAAGTTTTCCCTGGAAAAAAACAGTCCAAAAACGAGTCTAAAACAAGCCCAAAAAGAAAGAAAACGTGCAGTCGCAACCCACCCAAGCCTTAGCCTAAAAAGGGTGCTGCTGCACGGGGGCCATGGTGCTGGTGCAGGGTGCTGCTGCACAAAGAGTTGCGAAGGGTGCTGTTGCAGGGTGCTGCTGCAGGGTGCTGTTGGCAGGTGTTTTCCATTGTGCCAATGCGCTCGGCCTACCCAAAGACCTCAACTTGATCGATGAAACCATCTCAGGGGACCACGTTCAGCATGTGTTTCTCTACCAAAATGACGTCGATATCGCGGCGGCTGTCTCTCTTGGAAAACATGCTGAACCCAACGCCACTGGCACACCGAGTTGCAGCGACCCTACCGGATGCATTTCGTGTGCATATTACACGAAAAACATGCGGCCGACAACGACCTTCACACGTGAGAGTAGCAGTGTTTCTTACCAGGGGCTTAACAAATAATTGGGCAATTGATTTAAATGTGTGTGTGTTGTGTCAAGCAACATGTGCTTACTAAGTTGGATGGGAGCATTTCAACATATTGTATGTCTGCACAGCCCAGCTTGGGTCTGAAATCAGCTCAGATCGGCGTTGGCGACATTTCGAAGGTGTACAGAATTCGCTCGAGAAATATAGGAGTCTTAAATTGACTGTGTTTGCACGTGCCTGGCTGAAGACTTGAACACCGTGAACACCTTTAAAACGGTTGTGAGCTGGCCGAGTTAAACGTGGCCAAAGGAAGGCTTTCCGCGTTGCGAGGCGATGGGGCTAAGACAAGCCAAATTCCATGCAGGAGTTCCTCATATTTCACATGCCCAGTGAAGCTGGTCTTTCCAAGGGGGGGCCGCTGCTTTCTGCCCGAAGGATCCAGAAAGGCTCGCGCCTGAAAACTCCAGACGCAAAAGGTCAACACCGCGGACGCCAGCACAACCTGAGCGAAGAATATCGAAAAGCACCCAGGCAATCCTTGGGAACCACAATTGCTTCACTAACCCCGCCGCCCGCTAAAATATGAAGGGACACGCCGACAACCCCTTGATCCATGGTTGACATGACAAAGATCTTTAGACCTGTAACCCAGGAGCAATGACAAAACCGGTAAACAGCAGGACCAGATACCACATGTATCATGTATTATATATATATGCATATGTATTGAGAAAGAGCTTCTGCATGTTTCTGCATGCCTCCTCAGAACGCATCGGACGCTTTGGGTGGGATGTTGCCCTGTGACACTCACCTCCTTGACCAAGACACCCAAATGCAATATGACTTGGATCGCAGCTCGCTTTTGTCAATTTGGGCATGAGGTACCTTTGACCAGCTGACTAGCACGTCTTGAGTAGGAATGCGTCCAGCGCAAAACCGAGAAGCAATTTGGTAAGGGAACATCCCTGCTTGGTCCTAAGTCTTAAGTGCCGAGCCTTGCGCGCACTGCTTGCAAGGCCAAAAATACTTGTTACATGGAAAATCTTCCCAAAAACAATGATTCCGCGGGGGCTTCTCGACACCTTCGACACTGTGCACCCCACCCACGCGCCCTATCACAACACTGAACCAACCTACACTTTGACTTGGGCTTTTCCCCCCGTGCCGTGAACCAACGCACAGCTATGTACCTCCAGTCAAGGACCCCTGTTCCAACCCCAACCTCTCTGCCTTGAGGCTGTGGCAGGCGTAAAGTAGGATGCCAGCAGATCCACGCTCCGCTGCACTTTGGGGCGCCGGGTCTGCGCGTCCTGGCGATATAAAAAAGCTCTCCCTGGCAATCAATCCCCCCAATCCCCCCCCCCCTCACGACACGCGAGCCAAAACGCGGCCTCCACCAACTGCAAGATTCGGGCCAAAGTCGTGGAATTCCCTGCGCTCATCGCCTGGCTGGCTGGCCCTGGACCTAATTATTGGCCGGAAGGTGACATGTCGGAATTGGCGCAAACCGCAAACATGCGCAACAAACTTCTGGAGGAATTCAACCACTCCCTCCAAATTTGGTGTCGGTACGGCTTGTGGAAATCCTGGATCCACCTTTCGCGGCCCCGGAACCAAGCCAAAAGAACCGGCACCTTTCCCCGAGCCATGCACAAACCAGGACAACCAACAGGTTCTTTGGCTTTGGTCCGCTGAAACGAGCGGTGTTACAAGGCCAAAACCCGCAGCTGGTGGTCAGCTTCAGACATGCTGCAATAAGTCCAGCGCCCCGGATCCAAATGATCCAAAACCCCGATCCAAGTTTGAAGGATGGCAATGCCCAACATCAAGGTAGCCATGAAAAACCAAGGAACCAGTGCAGGAAGTTCAGACGATGACCACAAATATTTTCTTGAATGTCCCAGCCAGTCCAAAAAATACAACAAGAGCGCCCAAGTAATTGCTTCATTCGACGCTTGGAAAGCTGCCCTCCGAACATAAACAATGTCAAACTACCTTTCAAGGGAAGGCTGCCTTCTCGTTTGCCGGATCTCTTGACTCCCGAAAATCCGTGGCCTTCATCACAAAGCCGCCCTGCACTGATGTGGATCCGCCTGCGCAAATCCGGAAGCAACGCTGGCCACAGAACCTGACATGTCCAGACCCACATGGAACTTGAAGCACTGTCAGCAAAACTTTTTTCTACCGTCTATTTTAGTAGGGAACCCTCCCCCTTCTGGGGGACCTAGTCCACCTCATCCCATAGGTTACCCCTCTCCACGCTGAAGAATCGATGGGGGCAAACATGATCGAACCTCTGAGGGGCCTAGCTCCTTGTCGAGACTTGTTGGGTGTAGACGGTATAGAAGTCAAAGGCTTTGGAGATGAGAGCTTGAAGTACATTTCCGGCAGGGCGTTGGGTTGCAAGCAGGTGAATGGGGCTACAGTGACAAGTTCTTATTCGCATTTGGCGTGCTGCGCTCGTTTGTTTCTACTGGTGCTTGGGCCTGCTTGGGGCTTGAGCTTTATAGGCTTTAGAACAGAAATGGACAAACATCCTAGAAGTAACCAGCAACCTTTTTCTGCTATCTCGGTTGGTACCAGTTGGATCCTCATAACAATCACCTTGCTGTCGTGACTTTGTCCAAACGCATCGCCCAGTCCACCCCCTTCCTCTCCTCCACTCTCTCGCGCTCTCCTCCTCTCTGTCCCTCGCTCTTTGTAGGTCGTGAACATGAACGCGTGGGCGTTGTGGAAGTACAAGTGCAAAAGTCAGAGGTCCCAAGGAGCATGAACCATATTTTGTTTGGGGGAAGTCCATGAGGGATTCAATATTGCACAATCCCGATGAGTCACAAGGAAGGCACCAGCCGCAGCAAACACTTGTGGGCCAAGTAAATTCTGGAACCCCGGGCACCCGAATTGCGGTCCTTTTCGATCCGTGCTGAGGTCAGGAAGTTCTTTGGTAGAGCCCGACCGCTCAATTCTCGCGTCAAGCGTTGGACGCGCAAGTCCCCCAGCTCTGCTGCGCTGTGCCACTCCCATCAGTCAGCCAGAAGACGATTTTGCGTAGGCCTTGTTGTCTTGCTGGTGCTCAGTAGGGAATGAGAAATGGATGACCCCTATAAACCATCCCCTTGGTTTCTTTTCCTGCGGACTCCTGGGTTCATTCCCACATTCCCTGCTGAGCACCAGCAAGTTGTTTCATAGAAGCTCCGCCAAGAAGTTGGTATGACATTATAAGGGTAGGGCTTTCGCCAGGGTAGGGTTCCCGCCAGGTTTGCCAGAAGCCTGGCTTGCGAGCAAGCTTGTGAAACAAGGAGAGCGCTTTGCCGGATCCGACATGACAGCTGCTTAAGGCTCTCCCCAGCGGGTGATACCATGGCAATTTTGCGCATTGGCCCAAGCAAGCGCCACCTCATACTCAATTTTTGCCGAGGTTCTGTCGTGACCTGTGGAGGTTTCCTCCTGCTCACTACATAGGGGTTGTCACCCTACCAGTGCCTGAACCCGTGTCAGGTTGGCGCTTGCACCTATCAGTCTTGAAGCTCATCAATGTGAGCATGGCCCATGACACCCCATTTTGGAGAGTGCACTTGGCAGTACCAGTGCCGTAGATACCCGTGCGCGATCATCGGCCTAGCTTGCCGGCTATTTCATCTGCTTCATCTTCCCAACAAGCCCAGTATCTTCATCTCACATCGCAGTCTGGACAACAGCCCCTAAGCCCATGCAATTCCTAATCTTGAAATGGGTAGCGCACGGTAGGGACAGGCTGTCCCTCAGGCTGTTGGTGGCGGCACTTACTGCAAGGCGACCCGCTCAAGGCTTTAACCTCTCAGAAACAACGAGTGGGCCAAGCGGGTGCAGTTGCTTGATCTAAATTCAGGACCATATCCGTCTTGTTCAGCTTCAACAAGCCATGTTCAGTTGCAAGTTGCAAGGGGCCACTCCAAGTAAAGAACCCTTTTCCCGGGTTTGCACTGCTTTGCACCACCTAGTGCGGTTGCCTAGGGCAGAATGAACCTTGGCGCAGCTGATGTGGGCCTGGGCCTGAAAAGGCTAGGCGTCTCGGGCTTTTCCAAACAAATGTGGGTTGCCCAGCCAGTGGCGAAAACGGGACACAAGTACAGGAATGGGCAGGCAATCAAAAGGCTGAACAGCTGCAAACGCGCCACCATCAATGAAATGATACCAACCAAAGCAAGTGTTCCTCTATTCTTGCTGACCAAATGTAATATACTCAAATCCATGATCATCGCGTGTGTCTGTGCTTCGGTGCTTGGAACAAGGAACGAGGTGAACCGTCTTCCTTCTCCGTGTTTGTGCAAACAAACGGTCGACGCTGCCTGCCGGGGAAGGGTAGATGAAACGGGCGAGTGAAACCACTGGCACCTCCTGCGTCATTGCGCGTCTTGCAGGATGTGTGTCCTTGAGCGGTGTCTGCAAGAACGGGCCCAGTCTGCAAGAAGGCGGGAAAGAACATGCCGGACGAATTGTGTGACTTTCCCACTGACACATTGAGTTCACATTTGACACTTTCAACACATGCGCTGAAGCTTGCGTTGGTGCATCACGTTCGTCTACATGTGGTCTAGCCGTTTGGCGAACCGTTTGGCGGTTTGTTGAGTTTGACAAGTGATTGTTGAGTTTGGGAGCTCGAGGAAATCCAGGCGTTCTGTGTGGGGCTGGCTGTGTGCAGTATTTACATGCATGTTACTTCTTGAATTTGCGCTTTTTATGTTTGATCTTGCCTCTTGGTACTTATTCAACGCAGCAGGAGCCACAGGGCACGCACACATGTGCCTGTGGCAAGTTGCCGACACTAGAGCTTTCAAATCCCGCGCAGCGCATTTGCCTAGGTGCCCGCAAATGGCGAACAACCGAAACTGTGCGTGTGAAGACCTTGTCAGACCCATCTTTGGGCGCAAATCACTCTAACAAGCCCCTTAAACTTGTTCTCGGTTGAAGCAAACCCGCGTTTTTGGTAAGAGGATGGCATGCGGTGGAATTCGGCCAAGGGGCAAAAGTGCCTGTCTGCGATTGTAGCCTTCAGAACCTGTTGCCCAGAACCTACATGATATACAGGGACATGCGGTCAGAATATTTGACACTTTCCAAAAGAAAGCAGAGGCAAGGAACCTATCTTTAAACAGTCAAAGCTGACTCGCTGAGCAAATGGATTGGCCTCAGTCACAGTCCCTGACACTCTCACAAGTTGGGGGTCCCGGACCCGTGACTCATCAGGCACCAAGCGAAGGAAAAACCCAAAGCATCTCAACATCTGGGGGTACCTTCTCCATTTCCATTGATCCTTTCCAGAAACCCTCGAAAGGCCCGGGATTACGGCCGGGGTTTGAGAAAAAGAACGATGGGTGAAAAGAATGGCACATGAATCTTATATATATATATTATCAACGCATCCGGTTGAACAATGTGGCCATGAAAGAATGCATTTTTTTTTTTTTTTAAGGAAAACAAAAAAAAAAAACAATGCATCCGATTGAAAGAGTGCCTGGCCATGAAGGCTTTTTTTGGCCGAGCAGCATGCCCACGGCCGCCTCAACGATCACCACATCTGCAGGGGTGTCCGCCACAAAGTCATCCGGCGCGTCCAGGTGCGCACTACAACAAACCGCCTGAGAACTCGCCAGCTGACTCGCCATCTCAGGCTACCAACAGAAACAAATCTCGGTTGCTTTTGGCTCCCCTGCTAAAAGTTTTTAACTTTTAGCGGTTTAATACGGAAAACCCATTCGTTGGCAAAAAGTTAAAGTCCTAACATCCCTTGGCAAAATGCACCAAAGAAATAGAGCCGGGGAATCCAACGAAGAAGTAGCTTCACGGCTTCATGCTTCCGCCTTTCAGTCTACCCTTCCCATTGGCTAACATGGAACCTGGCTGGGGGGGGAGGGGATCCAGGAAAACGATAAGAGACCCCTTGGTGAGCTCCATAGTTTGCCGACAGGAGGGTAATCGGAAGGCTACGAATAGATCCTCACCGGCGAGCGACACCTCCGCCTCTCCCGAAATACAGGGATCCTTACATGAAAAACACCTGAACATTGCAACTTGTAAATGGTGGATTTCCTTTATTTTGGTGCTGAAAAAGCCATGTGAATGATAATATTCCTTCATTTTGTTGCTGAAAAAGCCACAGGTATCTCAAACGGGTGGTTGCAAAATGAACTTCTTTTCAGGAGCCCTGCGAAACGTAGGCCGACCTTGCCTTGCGTGAGTTTCAAACCGGCATTGTCACTTCGAGTCCCCCTTGAATGAACGGCACACCAAAATATTTACCAACACATTCTTATCGCACCACCGATTCAACCCAACGCCCTCCGATTCAGCACACAACAGCCTCCTTTTCATGGTACTGCGACCAGGGGTTGATGCGATGCTCTTCAAGGCTTCGAATGCTCTCCACTGCCATGCTCACCGCAGCCACTGGATGCCCATCCTGCCATGACAAGGCAATTGGCTCTCAAAAAGGTTCCTGCCCCCATCCATCGCTGGGACTATTGATTTAACTGGTGATGGCTTTCTGCCGGTGCCTTGAACATGGGAAGCCAGCGGTGCTGACAAATGCTTAATATGTATCTTTACCAAAGAGTTAAAGCTACGTGGAATTCTGCTAGAAAAATCCGCCTGTTGCCTGCCTGTCCGAGTCTGTCCCCGCAAGTAGCACTGTATTGCCTGAGCATCCTGTTTGCGGTCCATGTCCTCGAGGACTGATTTTTTGAACACAATTTGCCCTGCCCCAGTGCACGCATGCATGGCGAGGGGCAAGCGATACTGGCTCCAGCAATGTCTTAGCTACTTTGATCACAAGGCCGCCGCGTTCTTAAAGCGCTTGCGAATCAAGGGACTTCGGATCCTGAAATGTAAGTTCTGGTAAGAACTCGACTCAGATGAGGCTTACCCTGGATGCTGGAGGTAAGGATTGCCCCTTCCAAAACCGATACCCGACATGTATGCAAAACTCGCGGCTCGAGCGACTCGCGACCCGCCCTGGCCTGGTCCAAGAAGACGGTGCCAGCCTCACGGCAAGCTGAGATGTTTTTACTGGAGGGGCGCGAGGGAACGCAGATCCGAAGTCTATGGGAAAATGAGGCAATGAAGATCTTCAGCTGACATATCACTGAGCCACTGGACGCGGCCCAAAAATTGGCCCCCAGGTCACTTCACGTGCGCGCCGCGGTTGCCCAAGATTCTTCAGGGTTCCGCCAAAAACCGTAAGAACCACCACAACACCATTCAAAACATTGCCTCGGTGCCCCGAAACTGCTTCTTTCCAGAAGGAAAGACTCTGATAGAGGCCTTCCCCGCCTCGATTTTCAGTCAGAACTGATGGGCAAAGCCGCAAAAAGGACGAATCCCTCCCCTCCCCTCAACTCCCCTCCCCTTCTCCCCTCCGGTAAGATCTGTTAGAATCTATGCGCAACTTGCCAAGTATCAATCACGGAACTGCGATGGCGATTTTTCCGAGGGAGCTCCAAGAGTGTGGCGTGATACGATGTGATACAACGCGGCTGACGTCATCCATGCGTGTAACTGTGTAACGCCCAGGCTGCATTCAACCGTTAGCCCTCCCTCTGGACAATGGCACATCACTTTCCTCAATTAGGGGTCAGTTCATTTAGGGCTCTGCCCCAACAGGTTGAGCAGGGCTCGCAAAAACTTCCCAGAATCCAATCCGCTAGTGTCAGTGCATTCATTCCCGAACCAAATGTGAAAGAAAGATAAAGAAAGAGGATCCAGCAAAAAGATTCAGTCAACTTGTCTGTGCTTTTTGACAGGGGCGGCCTGTTTGACACCCCGAAGCTCGTCTGGGCTGCCCGGCATCTTTGTCGTCCTCCACACTGCAGCATGAAGAAGCGACTACAGCGCCCATTTGAGCACATCGGCGATGCCCGTAGAGCCAAACAGCTACTCGGAAAACGCAACTCAAAAGACAAGCAGGGCCACGCCCGCCCAGATACATTGGAAGGGGATGAAGGAGGCACCAAAAGCCAAACACAAGAGGCACCAAATAGGGCCACTCAGTCAAGGGACATCCGCCCTCGCCACCTTGCGTGTAGCTGATCTTGCTTTGGGTAGAAATCAGGGAGGGTTTGCATTTGCCTTCCAAACCCTTGTCGGCACCACAAGAAGTCAACTTCGCAAGTTCAGGCCGGCCACAGCCGTCAGACCGCAGGCCATTTCGGGCTCACCGCGCGCACAACACACCCACATCGACGCCCACACACACACACACACACAGTCGCACAAAGAAATTCCAGCTGGCGCGGGCGGGCTAGAAGAACGCACAAATGCACTTCTACGCACGCAGACTGCACAAACAGCACACAACCAGCCCTCAACACACACACACACACCACACACACACACACACCACACACACACACACCACAGACACACAGACCAGACACACAGACCAGACACACAGACACAGACACAGACACAGACACAGACACAGACAGAGACAGAGACAGAGACAGAGACAGAGACAGAGACAGAGACAGAGACACAGACACAGACACACACCCACAGACACACACACACACACACACTCCTCCTCCTCCTCCTCCTCCTCATCATCATCATCATCATCATCATCATCATCATCAGCATCAGCATCATCATCATCATCATCATCATCATCATCATCATCATCATCATCATCATCATCATCATCATCATCATCATCATCATCATCATCATCATCATCATCAGCATCACACATCATCATCACACATCATCACACATCATCACACATCATCACACCATCACACCATCACACGCACAACACAACACAACCACACTTAGACACACACACACACGGAGAGACGCGTACGGTTACCTGCACACCTACACACACCCACACCACATCATCTCTAACTATGCAGGCACCTGCATCCAGCCACAATATGAAACACCAGCTTCTGCAAGTTGCGTATCCGGATATGACACTCAGGCACGGTTGTGTGGCTAGCGCTGACCCTGATTTTGGAACTTCCAAATGGTCGGCAACAAAACATCCGCTTCAGGGCACGCTGACGTGACCAAAGGAATTCCAGCTTGAGCCAAAGGACAACAGAAACTCTTTGAAGCTGCCGGCGGATTCCAGCAGTGACACTGGCAAAAGAGAGACCATGTGTTGACTCTTTTCAATGGAGAAGCCCCGGAGTCTGCATCGCTGAGCTTGCCCAGTGCATAGTTTTGCGGACATGTGGGGTGTCCCTGGGTGTTCCTCAGAATTTCGGAGCCTTAAAGATGGTTGCTGTTCTGTTGATTCCCCTTTACAATCAATAGCGAAAAAAGGGGGGTCCTTTCTTTCGAGAGGCCCTCCAACTCGGTACTCAAGAGTTGAAGTTTGTCCTAAACACTCCATGTTGCACTGCTCTCTTCGGAAAACGGAAAGTTTTAACGCACGGCGACATGAAGACGAGGCTGGCAAAGAATGCCATACTGCTTTTGGGCGTCTTAGCTTATTTTGATTTGCAGCTGTCGTCCAAAATCCGAGAGTCTCCCGGCCTACCACTTGGCTGCCCTTCTGCTTGCGCACCGCTCTGGGCTCCCCGGTGAGCAGAGACTCGTCGCCTTCACCGGTTGTGGACGGAATCCGCAAAACGCGAGTGCCATCCTACTGTGGATGGACGAAATCCTGCACCACATAAGAAACCTGGAATGACGATTCCCCTGTAAATACCAACAACAAATGGTTATTTATGGTTTCAAACGGGTGCAGGATTGCGTCCATCCACAGTTTGGATACTGGGATTAGCCACCTACGTCCTACCAACTGCCAGATCTTGTGTGACTTTGTTCGCATGGGCGTCTTGGAGAACTCCCTTTCGGGGGGCGTCTCTTCAAAGGAAACCCAAGGATTGCGGGCGATGGTGGGCCTACTTTGGAGCTTCAAGCACCGGAAGATTTTGGGTGCGGCTCAAAATTCAACGATGGGAGGGGTCACGCAGGTTTTGGTCCATGTTTCCACTTGCCAGGTGTCCATTGTGGAAAGAAAACCGTTTTTTTTTGCCACAGCGAAAAATGTCTGTGAGGCTTCCCGGCTCAACACGGGCCAGTCTCCCAATTTTTGGAGGTGATCCCTGCGCTTGAGGTGTTGAGAGCCCAAGTCAGGAGGAAAAGCGTCGCCAGCTGAAGAGCCGCCCATCTCTGGCCAGCAATGTTTTAGAAGCTGTTACCGGGCACAAACAAGGCAGTCAAGCCTGAGAAGGATCAAACTCTATGCTACTACCTGTGGTTGCAAGTCAGTTTGCGTGAAGGAATGTCATGGGCAGCCCATGTGGCAGGTGCCATGCGGTTTGGTCCCCGAACCGCAACTCCGACTTTGGGTCTCCGGCAGTAGGCCGTGCTGTCGGTCACAACTTCCTCGGACGGCGCAATGTGCAGGGGGCAGCTTGCAAATGTTTCAGACTCTCTGCGCAAGTGTGCTACATGCAAGGCGCCAAATGTCCCTAATTAATCGAGAGATGCTGAATGGCTCGCGCCCATCCCTCCCTTCAATCCACAGGTCTTCCGGGTAGGTCTTTGCTTGTTCGACCCCGACTTCTTGGAATGAACGCTGGCCAACCCCTACAAATGATTCCTGTGTCCTTTTCCGCTTCTCGAAGGTGGTGTTTGTTGTTTTAAGCCAACCACCGGGGTGTTTTTTTCAAAAGCCCTACATGCCCCTTCCCGCCCCCCCCCCAAAGGTGGTGAATTGTCCCCTTAAGCAAGCCCACCCACAACCGGACCCGCCCTTTCTCCCAAAAAAACGGGCAGACGCCAAACCACGCCAAACCGGCCAGGCCGCGCCGTCCACTGGCACCTGCTCGCCTGGAAGGACCCGGAGGAGGTCCCCGAGTTGGATGAGGTCGTATCCTCAAGCCGAACACTCGCCCCGCAGCTCCCAGGTCCCAAGCTGCCGCTCGGAGCTGTTTCTCTGGTTGTTTTTTCTCCCTGGCCCCCGGGTCGTCGCGGGCCAAACACTTGCTTGCCCCTGGGTTCGGCGGGGTGCAGACTGCACCTCGGGGCCCCAAGCTGCCGCCGAAACACAAAAACATGTAATTAGCCGATACACATCTCCACTCAGGGCCCGAGAACCCCATTGGCCTGGAAGGAACGGCCTCCGGAGGCGACTCAGACTTTGTATCTGGAGTTGGAGTCATGGATCCCATCGGTTTTCCCTCGCCTTTGAAGACCTTATTCTAGCGGAATCCATTTCTTCCTCGGCCCTGGACCCGCATCGCTGCTTCCGGGCTTCGAACGCTGCTCTCTTCTTCCTTCTCCAGAAGGCGGGCGAACTCTGGCCTGCACGAACCCTCATGTCTCACTCGAAGTCTCCCCAAGTTTCCCTCTGCATGGATTGGTTTCGAGATGTGGACCGCTGCTAGATTCGAAGGCCTTTGCCAGGAGCAAAACGAGAAAAGCAAACCCTTGCAATGTGCTGAATGAACCCCGGGACGTTCGAACGCACAGCAACATCTTCACAACCCTTGGTATGGTAGCAATCAACTTCTTTGCAGCCTGAAGGTGACCAGAACCAACAAAAAACAAGCACTTGCCAAGAAAAGTAAAGACATGGTAAAGGATGCCCTATGCCCCATGCCTAGCAAATTGGAGCCTTTTCCAGCAGCTAAGCCCCCAAATCCTTCCGCAAGCTTTGGCAACCCGAACTCTGCGGGCTGTGCAAACTCGGTGGAAATGCGCGAAACCCTGGTAAGCGGCGGTAAAATACAGCATTTTTCCTTGCACTGGGTCCTTTGCAGTGATACTCTCAAAATCACCCTCGTGGTTAGTGAAACGAAAGGGACCCAAAAGCATTCTGTTGGTGAAGCCCCTCAACCACTTGGCACCAAACAACCCAAAACAGAAACACCATCGGCTACGATGTTTTCTTGCATTCCGTTGGTGAAGCCCACTGCGCTTGGGACACAACCAAACACAAACAAGCGGCTATGAGATTTTCTTGGGGACCGGACATTAAACACACTAGGTCCTCCAGATTTGAGAGGTTAGAATAAGGGTACCCTTTTTTTCCGTAGTCTATTTTACTAGGGCAACCCTCCCCCCCAAAAAAGGGTAGAGAAGGGCACCTCAGCTGGGGGACCTAGCAACCCAACAGAAACAAACGGCCATGAGATTTCTTGGGAACCGGACATTCAACAAATTGGCTGTGGGTCAAAACCAATGGTACCATTTTGGTTGGTAGGTGAATTCACCACCCATTTCGAAACCTATCTTAGTGGTTAGATTGGTTGATGTTCACTGGAAACTAACCGATTTGGATTTCAATTCACTAGAACCTATTTTAGTGGTTGGATTGGTTGATGTTCACTGGAAACTAACCGATTTGGATTTCAATTCACTAGAACCTATTTTAGTGGTTGGATTGGTTGATGCTCACTGGAAACTAACCGATTTGGCTTTTGACCCACCAAATAGCGCACGGACCAACTCAGGCCTCTTGGCGGAGATCTCTCGCACCAGCGCCGTTGTGTGGCTCTTGGCGCGGGCCTCCAACATGCGCCCGGCCAGCAGCACCTCGACTTGCGAAACCCGATGGGCGCCGATTTTGGTCTTCGGGTCACACCGATTTTCACCGGACGGGTTGACACAGGAAAACAGGGTCGGAAAGGCTGATTTTCACCGGTCGGATGGACACAGGCCTTCTACCTATTGACACTGGAAAACAGGGTCGGAAAAGCTTATTTTCACAGGCCTTCTACTGATGGACACTGGAAAACTGTGAGTTTTGGCTTCAGGTCAGACAGATCTTCACCGGCCTTCGGATGGACACCGGAATGCACGGTCGGCAGATTTTCACCGGCCTTCGGATTGACACTGGAAAACAGTGTCGGAAAAGCTGGGTGAGTGCAAGGTTCGGCGAAATCCTTCCACTGTTGAGCCTTTTGCGACTCATACGCGGCTCAAGAGGAAACCAAGCTTCTCGGAGTCAGGCATGTTTTCTGGGAGGCACGGGCAAGCACCGCGTAGCATGCAGGCATCGTCCCAAGCACGACGCGTGGTGTGCGCGGGTCCAGTTGCATTCCAAAGACCTACGGAGGGCCAACCTTGAGCATCCCTGCTTCACATGCCGATTTACAGCCCGAATCTGAGCCGTGGCAGCCCAAGTGTTTCTAGACTATGAGCAGTATGGAGCATTGGGTGTGTCTTTTTTTGGGGACCCCCACCAAAAAATGGAGGTTTCCTTTCAAAGCCCTAAAAAGGGTCCCCTCAAACACGACGAGCCACCCAACGCCACATTGGCCATGCCGGCGCCCTTTATCTTGCCTTTCCCTGCCGCAGGCACAACACATGCGCAAAGACATGGTCTTCGGGATTCATTTTTACATGGCCCTCGTCGCTGACACTCGGGTATAAACATCAAACCAAAAAGCTTCTTTGCTGGGGTGCTTGTACATACCCTTTTTACATACCCCTTGGAAAAATGAACCCCTGAGAGGCCTGCTGATGTTCATAACCCTCCCCCCCAAAGGGGTATATACCCCTTATGAAGTGGGTTGGAAGCTATGTACTTCCACCCTTAGATTCTTTCGTGCCAAAACCACTTCTTTGGCCCTGCAGCTGAAGGGCAGTGATCAGCACGGCGCTGGTCTCGCCTCATTTCAAGAGCTCTATCTGATTCTCGCGGGTTGGTGGTGGTTTGGTGGTGGTTTGGTGCGGTTCGGGGTAATTTGGTGTGTTTTGGTCTTTGGCGTGGCTTGATTTCTGTTTCTCGGTTTGCTTAGTTTGGTGCTGGTTTGGTGGTGGTTTGGTGGTGGTTTGGTGGTGGTTTGGTGGTGGTTTGGTGTGGTTTGGTGTAATTTGGTGTGTTTTTTTATGTTTGGCGTGGTTTGGTTTGTGATTTTCGGTTTGCGTGCTAGCTTTCAAGGCTCTGAGGCTCCTGACTGATGGTTTCTTGGCGGTGTCCATGTTCGCTATTTCGCTTGGCCACACGGGCATAGAACGAACGGTCAAAGTGATGTTCATGTTCCAAGCGCTCGCTTGGCGAAGTGCCTCCTTGAGTGATGTTCTGATACTGCAAGTGGTCCCTTGCTCGAAGTCTCCTTTACTCAGTTGTTCAGTGACCCTGGAAAAAAAGGGAACCAATTCTTTTTTGGGACGACCATTTTAGTGGGGCAGCCAACCAAAAAAAAAAAGGAGGAAAAAGGCTGAACAACTGAGTTTAGCATGCTTTCATTCATGACATTTGGAGAGGAGGCCTGCTGTCCGAACCACCCAAGGAACTGCTAGGTGCAACGGGAAACCTTCTTGCTTCCCAATGCCCTGCCCAATGTAAGTCAGCCAGCAACTTCTCATAAAATCCATGCCGTCTAAGGTGGACACTTACTGACAGTCTTGCGGTGCACTGAAGTTTCTGCCGTAGCTTTCCGCCGAGCATAAAGACCATCACATGGCATCACCAGCCAACCAGTTTCATCTGTCACCATCATCCTAAAACTGGACAGTAACAAACCACGATTTAATTCGCCAATCCCCCCCTGTCAACTGACACCAGGGGTGCCAAAGCAAAATATCCCCCCCAAAGAAATTACATCCAGAAGCTGAGCGTTCGATGGGACCCATTGAAAGCGCTTCGATGCACTCCCATGCAGCTGTAGCACAAAACATGGAGGCCATGCCCAGGCTGAAGAGAGGGCTGCCCAGCACATGGCACAAGCCACCCAGCAGGCCGTAGAGAAAGGACACCTTGGTGAAAACACCGATGCCAATCCATGAATTCCCTAGGATCCAGAGTAGATACAAGCTGATGACTAAACGAGGGCCCTGTGAAAAAAGTCTGTGTGAGTGTCCTTGCGAAAGGATGCGTCGTTCTCCGACCAGTGTCGCAGGCCTTGACTGGGACAGCCGGGTTGCCTTCCACAAAAGGGATGATGTCTATGGGAACCCTCTGCGTGCATCGTTCCGGAAGCTGATGCAAATTCCAAGGAGTAATGGTCAAATGGGAAAACCGCTGCATTTTCAGCGAATATCAGACGCTGCTCATGCTTTGACCCGTGTGTGGGAGGCGTGCGTCTGAGATTGGATGTAGGGATGCAGAGTGCTTTTGAAAATATCGCAACGCACTGGCGTCGACTTAAGCTTTGCCAGGCCGTGGGCAAAGCAGCACTTCAAAACAGAGGCCAGTGACAGCTTGACATGGCCCAGAAGCGTCACAATCTGGCACATGTCTGGACGTCACACGAATATTAGTATCACAGCAGCTGCGGGACGACTGCATCACTTGCAAGGGGGACTGGAACTAGAACACTCCCGCGATAAATCAGAAGCTGATTTGTCTACGCTCGGCTCTCGGATTCTTTGGAAAGGGCGCCGTGGAAGTATGCCTTTGGCGGGGGTGTCCCTCATGTCATTGTAGGAGTGTTTGGAAAAAGGCTGAGGGGAATCCACGGCTGCATCCTTGCTGCAGCAAGTCAGTGCGGGCACCGAGCTTGGGTCAAATCAGGTCATCCACACTTTATCCCATGTGTTCACTGTGCTGTGTGGTTTCCTCTGGTTTCCCTTTGCCAAGTTTCTGCCTGCCGTCTTTGAAGCATTCAAACCGAAGTCATTCGTGAAATCATGGAGCAAATGTGTTTGATCTTCCTCTTCAGTTTCAAAGGGAAATGACCATGACTGATCGTTTTACTGTGTGTGGAACCTGAAGTAAATGAGTATGGGCCAGATATGAGTTAGCATTTAGCATCAATCTCGGGCCGGATTTGTGTTTGGCCTGCGAAGGAATCGTCATGTCTAAGGCGACAAAGGCAGTTGGAAAGCGTCAAGCCCTCTGGCGACCAGACAGGCGATCAAAGGCTGTCATTCACAATGGTCAATAGGGAGTGCCGATGTGCGAGCCTTTGCCATGTTCAACACTGGCGAGCAATAGAGCCAATTACTGTCAGCCACAAGAAACTCATCCTGATTAGAGCACGCGATGAGGACCGTGGCTTATGTATTGCTGCCGCTGCCATGACTGCTTCCGGTGCCTTTTGGGGAGGAATTCCGCGGAACTCTTTTCTACTGGACTACCAAGAAGGGTGTACGGCACCGTTGGCTTGCCAAATCTCGCTCTTCGGGCCGCATGGCCCAAGGAAGTCTGTAGGGGAAGCAGCAGCTCTGAATTTGCCAAGTGCGTTGTATCAGGGTGGCCGTCCCTCGAGAAAGCAATCACAAGTAACATACAGGTAAAGACCCCTTGGGACTTCCACTCTGGCTGCGCCACTTCATCTACTTCAACAAGGGCGAATCAGCACATCGAGACAAGAGTCGTTACGGGAGCAAAAATGTTGGCTGGCTGGACCGAATGCATGGCTTGAGTATTCGCTTTCTACCAAACCTGCAGGGCAAGGAGCCGTCGTTGAAAGCGACACCAGGGTGTTCATGGTTGAAGCCTCAGCCAGGTTGCACACACACACACATACCAAGCATGCCAACCATCCCAGCTGTCGTGGCAAACCCAAAACTTGTCCGACTGCGTCAAGCTGGTGAAGCACATAGTGAGCACAAAAGCTCTAGGTGCCTGACAGTCCTCGAGGGAAGGGCTCACTACAGGAATCCCCACCCCGACGAAAGGACCAACTCATCTTACACGCCCAAAGGACGAAGTTTCACGCCACCAAAAGAAGACATACAGAGACCCTTGTACACACTGCACACCGAGGTTCGTTTCGGGCGTGAGAAACTAGGAGACAGCCAATTGCAATCCAAAGGCGGGGCTGAACCCGTCAACGTAAATTACAGTGCCCTCGTTGACCAGCACTGATGCCTTCCCCGTTTTTTAGTGCCCTTCAAACTCATAGTGTGTTTTTTCTGGTTGTTTTTTTTCTTTTTAATGCCCTTCAAATTTATCCGGAACCCGAATTCTTCATCGGTTTTTTCCCAAAAACTTTTCCAAAGGAGGTTCGAACCCCAGCTGGAGGTTGAACCGGTTGTTTGGGAGATGGACTTGAAGGATCCGAGGAGCTGCGCTCAACTTACATGGGTCACAATCAAAACTCGGTACTAAAATGGTCGTACTCCCAGAACCATGCTTCAGGAATTAAGAAGGCGGATCTCCGTAGCTATTTATGGTATCGTCCTTTCCTAAGCTTCTACCCGGGTTTTGATTGTGGCCCACATGCTCTCTCTTTTTGCCAGATCACCCCATGGAGCGCCGCAGAGAAGGCTGCAGAGTGGAAGCTCCAGCCGCAGTAGAACCTAAGGGTCAAGTGATACCCCGGCCAAAACAAGTCCTAAACATACCATACATATATATATATATATATATCTACATGTGTATTATGTAGTACCATTGTTCATGCTCATGCAAATGCCTAAGTAACTATACTGTAGCTTTGAACTATCTAGCGGGACCCCTTCGGCAAGCCAACGCTTGCCGCATCGGATGTTGCTTCCTGGGATACGTCTTTGGCCTCAGGACTGCCTCACTCTTGATGCATGTCATGCAAAGCCTGCGTCCACTTCCATGAGAGAGAGAAGAGGAATAAAAACAAGAGAGAGAGAGAGAGAGAGAGAGAGCGAGAGAGAGAGAGAGAGAGAGAGAGAGCGAGAGAGAGAGAGAGAGAGCGAGAGAGAGAGAGAGATCGTTCGCGTGTGTGAAGCGGAACGTTGTTGGGGGATCAAAAGGAAGAAGCCATGCCAACACGGGCCTGCTCAAAAAAGCTTGCCAAACAGAATGCCAGTCGATGGACCCTACATTTGACAACCCCCAGTCCACATGTCATGTTACAGGCTGGCTCGTGACGCGGTGGTCCCATGTGCAGGGGCAGGTGCGCCAGGCAACTGGCAGTGTCAACCATGTGTATTTTGGATGCCCGGCAGCGAAAGTGGAAGCTGAGCTTGCTGGCTTTGAAACAGTCCGCGCAAGCGCATGCTCAAGGGTATGGCATGCAACGGTTTTGTATCACACGCTGGGGAATTGTATGGTGTCAGGGTCGAGCACATGCGACGCACGCACACAAATATTAGACTAATGTATCTCTGCTGAAACCCAAAGTTTAAGCCCGCGCTCCCATTCCATGAAGGAGAGCCGCTCTCGGAACCCTTCTAAGGACCCCTTCTACGCTTCTAAGAAACCTTCCATGGACGGGGCCTCCCTCCCCATCGGCGGCCTGCTTAGACTGCGGTAAGTACTTGGAAAGCTTGGCTGTACAGGAAAGACCGGGCTGCATACTTTTTTGGGCCCATCATTGGGAAAGACTCTTAGATACTCTTTGGGTTTGGACGGTTTGGGGCAGCTCAAGCCGTGCTTACGATGCACAGGGGGCAGTAGATCTAAAAACGTGGCAAGTGAGGCACGTTTCAACTCAGGACCAATGCTGCGTCGAGATGAACTGCAATGCATTTTGTTCAGGTCACCAACACAGTATGCCCACAACCCACGGCTAGCACGTTCCTGAACTGCCCAAAACAACCCAGGCGTTCTCCCTCAGTGTCTGAAGGGGGGAACAGTCATCCAGTTTGCAAAGGTTCCGTTTGTCAACTCAGGATTCTGCAAAAAACTGTCTGTTCCTTTGCGGGGATCCTTACATCATACACCAGAACATTGCAACTTGTAAATTGTGGTGTCCTCTTTAGTTGGGTGGAAAAAAACCATGTTGCAAGTGGTTGCAAAATGGAGATCTTTTAAGGAGCCCTGCTTTGCCAAGTTAGATCAACGAGCCAGCGGCCTGGCTCTGGGCGCGCCTTTCGCATGCAGCCTGGAGGCTGCACAAAGGCTGATAGGCATAGGACATACCTGGGCGCTCAGGCGGGATCTTGGGCTAAGCCGTGAAAATGGAACCGGAACACAACTCACTTCCGAACGAGTGGCTTGGCCACAAAAAGTGGCCAAACTTGTTTACTAAAATGGCCTTCCCCAAAAGTGCTTTAAATTTCCAGGAACTCAGGAAGTGAGGCAACTACGACTAGCGCGCGTGTTTGCGAAAAAGCCAGGCCCGCGTCATCTTGAAGCGACCATGAATCTTGCCGACTACCATGGATGCCAGCCCTGAAGTGTCCGGCCAATTGGTCTCTGATCGCCAGGCCGAAGCCGCAAAGGGTTGCCCGTTCATCTGGGTTCCGGATGCAATCGAACACCGTGCTTCATTGTTTGATTTTCTGAAGGTAGACTCAACCCCAAACAAAGAACCCCGTGCTGGTTTAAGTTAATTACTAATCATAAGTTAGCTAAGTTAAGTCAATTTCATTACCTATTTTCCACCCAAATGGCTTCAGATATAAGATACTTACGGAGAGGTTGGGTAGCTTGTGCAAGGCGGGCAGGGGACCTTATAAGTAACTTAACGGACGCTTACGTGAAACTTACGGATGCGTGCAGCGTTGTTTGCTGCGCTTGTGCGGAAGTCACTGGCGGTGTCCGGCACCATTGAAATCGGACGCTTGATACTTACTGTCGCTCAAATAACCAAGAGGGTTGACAAGGTCCTCCAGTAGAGAGGTTAGAATAAGGGTACCCTTTTTTCTGTAGTCTATATTTGTAGGGGAACCCTCCCCCAAAAAGCACTACCGGGGAACCTAGTTGGTTATAGGCACCAGTCAGACTTCTGAAAGCCATCGAGCAGGGTGGCCGACGTACGGCCAACATTTGGCCTGGGGCGGGCCTGTCACCTTCTGTTTTTCCAAAATGCTTGAACATTTGAGGCCCAGGGCATGTGATAAGGCCCCCCCAAGTCCCCAAACGTGCCAACAAACAAAGTAACTTCTGAGTTCCACAGTAGCATATGCGTGGCATCAGTTCCCAGGGTCTGGGTTTAACTTCAGCTTGGGTTCCAAAGTCTTGAATTCCCCGACCGAACCCTGCGCTAAGAACGTCCACTAGGTCCTCCAGTGGAGAGGATAGAATAAGGGTACCCTTCTATCTGTAGTCGATTTTAGTAGGGGAACCCAAAAAAGAAACGGCAAAAAGGGCACCAATCGCTGGGGGACCTAGCCTAAACCGAACAAGCCGCATGAAATCCAAGCGGCAGGAAGCCGCTGGGCAGAACCGAATCGTCCCAGGCCTCCGGCAGGAAGCCCTCCGCCAGCAACACGATCCTTTCGGAGCCGTCACGAGGCAAAAGTTGTACTCAAAACGGGTCCCAAAGTTTGAGCTAGGTCCGCCAGTAGGCTAGAACAAGGGCGCTCCTTTTTTTTCTGTAGTCGATTTTAGTAGGGGAACCCTCCCCCGAAAAAGAAACGGTAAAAGGGCACTACTAGAGGAGCTGTTTGAACGACTCTTGCGTGCTGAGTGAAAGAAAGCAAAGAAGGTCTCTGATTGAAAACCGTGACCCCAGCTTGAAGCCTGTCTAAACGCTGATTTTCCTCTAAGGCGGGTAAACACAAAAAATGAATCCTGAGATGCCAAAATGAAATGGCAATCAAATGACACACACAAAAAGTAGAGCAGCGAGATTTAAAGATATGAAGTGCTCAATTTCTGGCATCGGCCCTACCCTGTTCCACCCCATTTTGCCCTGGGGGGGACCTCCAACAAGGCTTGTGATTGTGCCATTGGAAGCCCCGCGTTCAACATCATACAACTGCAGTTCGGTGCCTCTGAGAGATTTGAGTGGGTTACTCTTGAGTTCGCCCTTCTCAGGTTGTTCTAAAGGGATCCCTCCTTTCGCACATGTCTAGGGATTGTGTCCCCATTCTTTTCAACCGTCGTTCTTTTCGAACACCAGCCCCGTTTTCCCTGGGTTTGTCGAGGTTTTCTCGAAGGAAGGATTCCTGGAAAGAATGGACATGGAAGGAACCCCTAGAACATGCCCATGTTCATTGCCATCCGAGGTGCATCAGCGTAGGCGCCACCGAGAGGCAAAGCCGCGAATGAAGCCTCGAATGCACCCGAGGAACATGCTCAAACACCCGGCTATTTCCGTACCCCAGTGGTTGCCATTTGCGTTTCGCCAGTCGAACCCTTCGCCATCCGTGTTTTTAATAGGTGGTTCCTGTATCTCAGAGAAATGGGAGGGATAGGAACCCCCAAGACTTACAAAGGGAGTAAGGAATCCCCAAGACAGGAACCTTCATGGGAGCTCGATTCATCCGAGAGCTCGTGGTGGAGGTCTGGTTCCCATGCCCGCTCGAACTCCTAGTTCAATTGTACGAGTAATCCTGCAGAATGAGCACCTGGTGAAAGCACAGGGATGCCACTGCACTTGCGTCACACATCGGCACAATTATTCCTCAAACGACATGTTTTTGGGCCAACAGAATCATACTCCCGGGCATGATTGCCTTCCTTAAGAACACCGACTAAAGACACTGAGCTCGCAATTCGCAAGGCTTGAAGCCCATCTCACACTAGTACCCGATCGAAGTTTTCCTGGTGGTGCAAGGTTGAGTTGAACAACCGTCTCTGCACTGGGCGTAACACTTTTGGCATGGGCCCAAAATCCGGGGTCAACATTTTCCAGAACCAAGTAAATAACTCACCCTGACTCACCTTCTACCCAATTCATTTTCGATTTGGTGACGTGCATGACAAAACCTGAGAATCAGGACTTGGCTCGGCCGAATGAACTTGACCAACCCACTCCCGCACTTCCAAGGTCCCGTGTTCGCCGCCTTTTTCGCCTACATACAGTGTGTGTGTGTGTTCTTTTGAGGGTGCACTGATTAAGGTTTGAAAGGGAGGCCAATTGGAGCACAACCATTGTGCAGTCCCCCGATTTTGACACATGCCCATAGTATAGTTGTTCTGTCCCTCAAGGACCTGAGTCACTTGCTCAAAACCCGGTACAAAAATGGTCGACCCAGAACCATGTAAAGAACGAAGAACGGTTTAGTGGAAAACCCATTAGTTGGCAAAAAGTTGAAGTCCTAACATCCAAGCAGAATGCACCAATGGATGCATGATTATATCCAACTTAGGGCTGTGATAATAGCTCCGTCTCCTGACTCCAATGGTAAGCCAACAAAACTCGATGCATCAACCGAGCAATACCAACCAATGAGACGCATATTCGTTCAAATAAGCTGCTTTCGGAAATCAATGCACGTGTGTGTGTGTGTGTGCGTGTTGGTTTGTCGGTTTGAGTATGTATGTATGTACGTATGCATGCATGTACGTATGTATCTGTGTATATGTGTATGTTTGCGTATGCGTGTATTGGTGTATGTGTGCGTGTGTATGTGTAGGTGTGTATGTTGATGTATGCGTGCGTATGTGTGTATTGGTGTATGTGTGCGTGTGTAGGTGTGTATGTTGATGTATGCGTGCGTATGTGTGTGTGGGTATATGTGCGTGTGTGTGTGTGTGCAATTGGGTGTCTTTCTGGGAGGTTTGTGTTTGTATGTGCGTGCATGTGTGCATGCGTGTATGCAATGTAATGTAACGTAGTGTGGCGTAATGCAATGCAATGCATTGCAATGTAATGTAATGTACTGTATGTATATGTGTGTGTATGTAGGCAAGTATGTATGTATGTTTGTATGCATATGTGTATGCGTCTATGTATCAGGTATCTATGCACCTATGTATGTACGCAGGCAGGTATCTATGCATGCAGGTATGTGCGCACTCGTGTGCGTGCGCGAGCGCCGGAGTGCGCGTGCGCCTGTGCATGTGAGTGTTAGTGTGAGCGTGCACGCGTTTGTATGCGTCTTTGTGATTGAATATGTTCGTCCGTGTGTGTGTGTGTGTGTGCATGTGAGTGTTAGTGTTATTGTGAGCGTGCGCGCGTTTGTATGCGTCTTTGTGATTGAATGTGTCCGTCCGTGTGTGTGTGTGTGTGCGCGTGCGTGCGTGTGCGTGTGCGTGCGTGTGCGTGTGCGTGCGTGTGCGTGTGCGTGCGTGTGCGTGTGCGTGCGTGTGCGTGTGCGTGCGTGTGCGTGTGCGTGCGTGCCCGTGTGTAATTGCATGCGTTGTGCATGCCTGAACTTTATGGGGATCCTCTGCATGTTCCCACTCCCCTTCGGATGGAGCCGGGTTTCAGTCTCAGAGTTGCCGCGGTGGGATCCTCGGCGACTTCCACATGGTATCTGCAGACCTCAGCTTGCAAAACACGGCCTTCGTGCGGATTCAAAATAATTCATGCGCCGATCTCGCGAAAGGCTCTGCCTCAGCTAAGGTCTTGCACAGACTGCGGTGGGAAAGCCAAGGTTTATTCCCCGTGCATAACAACCCCCTTCTTCAAAATAAAACGTGCGGCATCAAGGGAAAAAGGAAAAAGGCCCCCAGGTCTGAGGAAGCCAAGACACGGCAAGGTTGCATTGAGTGGAAACTGAGGTGCGGATTTTGACCGGTTGGCCAATCTATGCGCTTGCCTGGCCTAGCAAAACTGCCACATGCTCCGTTCAGTCAAACAAGCGCTTACTGTTTCTTCTCAGCCGTTTTCACAAGACACTATCCGACCAACTGCGGACCGGACTAAGAGGCACCATCCACGCGGCAGCTGTGTCAATATTACTTTTCCCGAAAACCCTCCAATCGCCGGCCTTTCGCGCTCCAATCGCGGGCCAATCGCAAAGCGAAATTGATAACTTCTTCCCATCTTACCGGTAAACGCGTAGATGTTTCCCCAATCGGGGCCCAATCGCCGGCAGGCGCAACCAACAAAGTTACCCGAATAATTACATAAATGCATTTGCGGACGGTCCCCACAGATATGTAGATAATACAATTAAGTAACTTCCCGCGTCCAGAATTGGCCGCACGCACCATGGGTCTCATGCTCATAGGATTCTAAGGGAGAGGGCTGCACTATGTGAAGTGCCCAGTACCCCACCAGGTCGATGAATCCAGGATCAACGCCGCCTGGGAACGAAGAACGAAGCTGAGCCCAGTGGCACCGTCAAGCTTCTCCAGCAAGCTCCGCGCGCCCACCTGGGATCCGCTTGCCGTTGTCCGTCCTTCTTCTTGGGGATTCGCTTTTGAAACTCGGGAACCCACGGTTTGGGGAATGAACCAGGGCCTGAAGGAAACCCGATAGATCTCCTTTGTCTTTTTTTTGGCTCCCTCATTCCCTGAGAGCCAGCAAGTACCATGCACATGGCTCAGCCAAGTTGACTCGAGGCGCTGGACAAAGCCTGCAGGATACAACAAACAAGTCCTTGGAATAAGGCAAGTCCGGCAAATCCACCCATCTTCTTCCTCTTGCAGTGTCATGAAGGGCGAGTAAGCCAATGCCGGCCCAGAGCCGCGTGGAGTGGCAAAACCGGCATTTGGGTTCCCGCCGTCCCTACCTCAAATAATGCGTTTCCTCCAACAAACGTAGCATCTGCAGGAAGTGCCTGGAAGACCAATTTCCTCTTGAATGGATCATGTGTCAGGTACCATGAGGGGGGTGTCGATTCCTGTGCAATCGCTTCATGTAATCCGGCATGCCCCCTTGCGCAACAACACATGCAAACTAGTGCACAGGTATACAGGTAAACAATTGTATGTACATGTATAGGTAAAACAAGAACACATGAACTTTCTCCGCCCAGAGATTCTGCGGCGAGAAAATGGGCGTGGCCTCGATGGGGTCGTACAGAAGGCGCGCCTGACACATCGAATCCCAGGTCGCTTTGGGTGTTTCGAGCACTCGAAAACCGATTGGCACATCAAAGGCGCAGAAATGCAAAAGGTGAATCTAGAAATCTGGACCTGATGCTTGGAAGGTCCATGCTTTCACGCCACGCAATATTTAGATTGGAAGCGTACTAAGGGTCGCACAGAGGATTCATCCTTGTGCACCACCACGCCTCTCACCTAGGCCCGGCATGCGTGCGAGGTGCGGAATGCTGACTTCCAATTTCGGGATGCCAAGCGGCGCCCGGCTCTGGGACAAAGAATTGCGGATTGGACACCTTCTCAGAAAGTTCAGAGGATGTTGACCCCAAATTAATTTCAACCAACCAGTTTATGAATGGGGGGTGGTTTTGGCCCCTGCACAAGTGGTCTGATCCCCCAAACCCAGTTGGACACCCCCCCCCCCATGATTGAACTGGGGTTGCCTAATATGGGGTCAGCACAGTATGTTCGACAACTTGACTACCCCCTCCCCCTACATCACGCCTCATATTTCGATAGCTTGACGAGACTTCACAGCGAACGGAAAAATCGGGCTTTCCCAGCGCCGGCGCTTTAAATACACCCCGAAAGCTGAAATGACCTCTGGAATGCGGGACGTTCTCGACGTAACGCATTGGGGGCTGGCTTGCTTTGGGATCACATGTTCTTGAGGCAAGAGGGCAAAGACCCGGAAGAAAGCGCTCCTGCCTCAAACTCCCCAAAGCTCACACGGGGAAGGGCCGGTCGTGACCGGACCCTTCGCTTTGTTGGGATTACCTTTCCTATACAGGGTCAGGATTCTTCACATGAACTGCCCACCAGCCCCTGTCCGCCAAGTCTCCCCGTAAATGGCAGACGCCGCCTGCAAAGACGAGCTTTCCGGCATCAGAACATCTCGCAAACACCCGCGCTGTTCCAGTGTTTTCCTGCTTTGCCTGCAAACCCAACCACTAAACCAACTAAAGAGCTCAAACAAGCTAAGCTGAACCGGATGCCTGGGAGCCACTAAGCCATTTATGCCTGGGATGAACCCTTAACTTGCCAATTTTAATGGGGAATGACCGTTCCGGGTATTGGGGCGAATGAACCGGAAGGGAGTTCCCCTAAGGAAGCACCAAGGATCACAAGGGATTGTAATAGGGGTCCTTCCATTTCTCATTCCCTGCTGAGCACCTAACAATCACGCCAACATGGTTTTTGTCCAGTTAGAATTGGTAAAAAATAAAACTCATGACCAACTGGTACACCCTGAGAATCTCAGTTGCCCAAAGGACCCAGAAATAAAAGCTGGGCCAAAGCTGGGAAACCAAGAGTGGTCAAAAGGTCGACTCGCTTTGGGCGAGTTGGGAATCATTGGGGTCTTCCACTTCTTTTGTAGTTTCAACGGGAAACCAAAAGGACACCAACCATTCTGGAGGGTCCCGATAAAAAGGACATGCACACACACACACACACCCAATTGGGTGCCCTATTTTAAGACACCCTCATGTAGTTTCGCTCTGATATGGCCATGGGCCATAACCTATGGCGATCCCATTTTGGGGTGGACGAACATATAATCCAATCGCCACCAATTTTGATGTGCACCCGTTAGGTGTTGACCCACAGCCATATGGCCATGTGTCAAAATGCCGTAACCCCAGTGAACATCCCAATCCCCACTAAAATAGACTAACATGGGTGTTGCACCCACCCTAAAATGAAACCATTGGTTTTGACCCACAGCCATATGAGTATCTGAAATCCTGGGGTTTCGAGTGGATCCTGGGGTCCCCGCGTGGCTCGTTTCGCGTGGCTCCCTGCCTTGCGCAGCTCTGCGGCGCTGCGGAGCGGCGCCACCGGCAGCTCCGAGGGGCGGTCGCCGCTGGTGGCGGCCGCCTGGCCCGGGGCGGCTTTTTTTTTTTTTTTTTTGGGGGGGGGGAGACGCCTTGATGGTTTGGGCTGGTTTAGGGTTTAGGGAGGGTTCAAAGACTTCGAGACGTGGATTTTGCAAAGCGAAGATCATCTAAAGCTTCGATCTCAATCCCACCCACCCAGATCCCACTACCAAGGGCCAGCCTCACCAGGTGCCAGCGCAACTTAGAAAACTGAACGCGGGGCCGCGCAGAAGAAGCCACGCGAGGCGAGAGCAACCGCGCGCGGCGACTAGCAAAAGGTTGCGAGCAGCAGCAGCCGTGCGCGCGGGTGGCAGGCAGCGGGTTGAGGGTTTAGGGTTTAGGGCTTGGGTTCAGGGATTATTCGGGTTGGCTTGGGAAGCGCCAAGCGCTTTCCAGCGACATCATGGATTTGGTTTCTGGGGCTCAAGGCTCGGCCTCGCCAGTGGCTGGTGGGCTGGCGGGCTGGCTGGTGGGGTGGCGGGGTGGTGGTGGGCGGCCTGATGGCTGACACAAATCCAGGTGATCTGTTTCAACGCCAAGTGCGACTTTCTGCGCAAGGCCATTCGGGATTTGGAGGGCTAAGCTCCAGCAGCCCATCTTGCAAACTCAGCTGTGAATATGCCGCATTGCAAATGTCTACCAGTGTTTTGGGGCCAACCGAAACCCTGAAAACCCTGAAAACCCTGAAGCCCTGAACCTAAACCCTCAAAACCCAACCCCTGAACCCTGATACCTCAAGTCTAAGTTATTCAGTTATTCCTACACCCTGAACCTGAACACGAAATCTTAACCCTACAAGCCTTAAACTTTAACATCTTCCAACCCCTACCCCAAATCCCAAGCCCCAAGCCCAAACAGCACTTGGGGGGGGGGGGGGGGAGGGAAGGGCACAATGGCACAAAACACATCAAAACACGAAGGGGGGGGGAGGGAAGGAGGGAACAATGGCACAAAACACATAAAAAAGCACGACAAAAAACCACCGCACAAAGTTCAAAGCGAGGCAAACATTGCACCGCAACACCTCAGTGAGCAGCTCCCCCTCAAAGCCGATAGACTCGATGGCAGACACCTCAGCTCGCTCGGCTCGCTCTCAGCCGGCGGTCAGACGCGGATCTCTCGAGCGAGGGCATTTTTGGCGTTGGAAGCTCGAGTGGGTCGTCTAGGCGGAGAAATACAGTTGGTGCAGGAAGGAGAGGCCAAGAAAAAGACCAAAAGCTTGCCCAGCCCAGCCGATGTGCTTCTTTGCTGACATTGCCAGGCAGGTTTTCCAAACTTCCTGGGGCTTCAGAACAATTGTTTCTCGAAGTGGAACAGTCGGTTGGTTCCCTTCGGCTCCCCATCCGAAGGCTTCCCCTTCGACGCGGTTCGAGATCTCTGCGTCAAGATGCAATCTCGTCGGCTTTGGAGGTGTAGGTCACCTAGCACATGTCATGGTCGTCGACTGAAAGGTGACACGGGGCCACCTACAATCGACATGTGCTTTCTACCTTCAGGCTACTTCTTGACCTCAGAAATGCAGCACGCACACGTTGCGTACCGGCTTGGTTTCCAAGTTGGCTGTACTGCAGTGGCTGCACAAAATGCCTACTTCGACTCCTCCCTGTATATCCGGCATGGCTGTTTTGCGGGTTGCAAACGTCATTCGGACTGATTGGAGTGAAGCAGCATCAAGCCGTGCGTTGGACCGTAGAGGCACGTCTGAAATTACTCTTCTCAGGCATCTGGCGAACACAAAATGAGTCACAATCACAACCTGGCACTAAAGTTGTCAACCCCAATCCATGCAAAGAATGAAGAGGGCGGCCGCACATTCTGGCTGGGGCTGTCGTTTACGAACCTTCACTTGCCCAGATCTTGATGGCTCAGATCCGCGTGATCACGCCTTTTGAGCACAACCCACGGGCCACGTGCCACCAGTGGCCACAGCTCTTGTCGCTTTAACGAAAAAATAAACAAAGTGGTTGATGGCATTGTGGTGTTCTCCTGTGTTTGCGGCGGTGACAAAACGCAACCCGCTCAAGACAAATGCTGTCACGCGTGAGGGACGGCTATGTCGCAAAGGTGGACAAAGAAACCGTCAAGAAGCAGCGATCGTGCGAAGCTTCCTCGGGGTCCGCAGGGAAAGTTGCTTGCGCCGCAAAACTAGAAGGAGAGTCAGAGACAACACCTTGCAAACTCTCACGGAGGCCTTAAAGAAGGCACACAATGTGCGTGGCATTAGTGTCCTTTTTGGATTCGTTTGGTTAGAAACAGGTGGGCTTCACCGGTTTAGATTGGCTTTCAATCCCACCCTCAAAACCCTTTGAGCTTCCAGAAGGCTACCGGTGGATGTACAGAATCCTGTACCACACAGAAGAAAAACCGTGGCTGAAACCATTTTTATTGGTATTTTAGAGGGGCATCATCATAAACCAGGGCTTCGTCCATCCACATGGCGCCTTGGCGAGCTTCAAGGTCAGCGACACATCTGCCGACCTAAGACGTCGGGCACCCAAACTTCAGATAGCCAAGCTGTAAGCTGATGGGTGTCTACACAAAGGACCCACAAAAAAACGGCGAACCTTTTGGAGCTATGACTACAAATGGAAAGAGGGGAAACCAAAAGGTCGAAAACGGTCGGATTTGGGTGAGCTTTTGGAGGAACACCTACAGGAAACTCACCGGTAGCCCTTTTCTTAGACACACTCGTGTAGCTTCACTCGGATATGAGCATCATGGGCTATCATGGGTGGTCCCTTACGCTTTCACCCCAGAAGCCCGTCGAACACGCGTGTGTTTGTTTCGAAGTCAGCAACTGGTATCGCCGAATAAATCTCTGCCCGCGTGCTAGTGACTTGGTCTGTCTAGGCCAGCTTGGCATCTTAGCAGTGCCACCGAATGCCAAGCAACAAAGTAACCGCAGACCCACAGAAGAACGAGCCCTGCAACTTAGGCCAGAACTTAACGCCCATCACAGCTAGCACTGCACGCTCAACAGCACCCACCTCAGCGATGGGAATGCGACTCTGGCTACCTGGGTATATCGGGGAAAGCGCCTGATCAAGTCCACCAAATGATGTTGAATGGTCCCTTGATGGTGGACCACCAACATAACTTGCTGCACATTGACATGGGAAATTATTGTGCACATACATAGCTCCATACCTATAATATACATATTGTCTTGTCGGGAAATCGGGCTACTGGATGGCGCTTGTAAGACCCGGCTACCGGACCACAAGGTATCCACGCCACCAAAAATCCGTAAAACAAGATGGAGACGGTCATGCGTGGCACCTCCAGCAACAAAGTACGGAGCAAATCGGCATTGCCAAAGGAGCGGCTACTGGCAACCGACAAACATCTGCCGGAGCATCTGCACATAATAGACTTGACGCCAAACGCCAGCTCAGCCTAACCATGCAAAAAGCATCACATGCGCAGGGTAGTTGCTGGAAGCAGGTCATTTCCCATTTAGTTTCCCTTCAACAACATGCTCGAGAGGCATGACCAAGCAGAAGTGAGTGGGGTAAACCTGCTTCCACGCACTTGTTGACACCACGGTCACGGTTGAACACACGCAACATGCTGTGAAGGCGCTAGCAAATCTGGATAGAAGGCAGGGTGTTCCCTTCATAGTTCGATACAGCTTGATATCCTAAGGCCTTCCAGCTTAGGCTGCAATGGATTCTCTTTAGCGTGTCGGGGAAAGGGACTCACAGCCGTGCAGGTTGCTTGTGTGAACAGAAGCCAATGCTCTGCTTGGTAGGTTCTTGGGGGATTCCCACAAGTGCGGTGTAGTCCAAGAAGACATCACATTTACTAAACTATACAACTTTTGAGAAACCTGAAGACAAACAATTCCTCCTGTCCCTGTTTTTGAGCAAATCCTGTAAGGCCCCGCCACCCAACCAAACATGCCGCCAAAGAAGCACACGCCGCGCAGGTCATCCTTGCAGTGCACCAAGCAACTGCATTTGTCTTGGACTGCCAATGGCCCTACAAGTTATCAATACAAGTTCCCAAGCAGTCATGACCGAATGTACGTCAGCAAAGTTGCTTGGGTTTGGGTGGGTTGAAACAACTGTGTCAGCACGCGAAGGTAAACAAGCGCAGTTGAAACCCAGCAGCAGCGCCAGGTTTGGTGTCAGGGGTGCCTGTTGCCAGCCAGCAGGGAGGTCGGCGGCCCTCAATCCCATGTACTTTGCGATGCGGTTTGTGCCTTTATCATGCTTAATTTAGAAAATGGCTTCGCACAAAGATGTAGTGAAATGAATTAATTCCACCTCCATCACCAGTTCCATGGCAAACCCCAGATGTGGATCAACCACGTGGAGTCCGCTTCCAAATCTTGCAGTCACACGGTAAGACTGCCAGCCATGCGTTCATCATCCGTGCGGCGGTTCATTTTGAACCGACTGCCTTCCCCGCCCCCTTTGGACCAACAGCGCTTTTCAGTCTGGGCCGCCCTCCCACCTTGAAGCTGCCAACCATCCTCAGAGTGGGCAGGCTGCATCGGGCTCAGTGGCTCGAAACACACGTTACGAATGCGCAAACCATGTTCAACCATGCCGACATTCCAAACATCCCCCTCACAAACCCACCCTGGATAAAATACGGTTGGCAACAGCCCACAGGCTATCGGGGGCGTTCGTGCGGAAACGGAACGCGGCGCCCGCGCCCCCTTTTTTGTCGCGCGCGTCTCAGCTTGCCTGGCAGAAGCCGATTGCACGATCATAGAAAAGGAGCCCCCAGAATGGACAACCACTGGGGAAAAAACCGGTACAATATTCTAGTCTTTGCGGTTTGGTCATTATGTTTTCAGGTTCGGAGCAACCCCGAAGGCATGAAATCCTATTCTAATTTCGGATTTGGCTTCCAGAGCAGAAAGTAGATAGCAAAGGAAATGACTAAACCAAACTTGGGGAATTGTGCCATGTGCTTTGCCCCAACTATGCCCCAATCGCACTTGTCCAGGAGCAGCAGGGGAATGGGGTTGGAGTCACAACTTAGCAAGAATTTCGTTTGCAATGAACAAGTAGATCATGAGACATGCAAAGATTAAACTCAGGAATCAATCAACATCTCAGTTCCCTTCGTACGAGCCGCGGCGTCGAAGAGGAAAAAACAGGAATTGCACTGACCCCCTGACCTGCGGCCTGCCGAATGGGAGTCCCAGCCCCCGGCGCCTTTTCGAGGGCGTCTACAATGTGGTCATCTCGCAAAAGGCCTCGCTCCGCCTTAGAGCGCAAGGCGAGACAGCGCTGGCCTGGGTACCCCAGCAATCGAGCAAAAAAAAAGAGCTCAAGTAGCTGGCGAAGAACGGCTTTTGGAGTTGGGCATGCTACTAGGGCGTGACATGTTTCTAAGGGTGGAAGTGCATACCCCTTGTTCATACCCCTTGGTTTCCATGGTTTCCAACCCACTTCAGAAGGGGTATATACCGCTTTTGGGGACAGGGGTATGAACATCAGCTTGCGCAAGAGGTATGTAAAAGGGGAATGTACAAGCACCATTGGAATGTTTCCGACTACATCACACTTTACTATGCCACCCGCGCGCTGCGTGCCTTCGTTTGGCTCAACATAGTATACAAAGAAACAACAACACGACAAATTCCTCCATGATCGCGGAAAATAAGAACACCCCCAAAACTTGGTGGTTCAACGGAAACGACTTGATCTCATTTCGGTTCAACAAAAAACATGTCACCTCTATCACCGCTGACAACACATGCGGAAATCAGGAGTGTGTCAATTGCTGACGTTATCTGCCCCTGTTCTGGCTGCCTGCGCAAAGCCCAAAGGAATGCTGCCACAACAAACGCCCGCCACTTCCGGCCATAGGGCTTGAAAACAAACAACGTTGGAGGCGGACTGCATGGTTGCATAGGTGTGAAGTCAGCAAGCTAGAACGACAGCCGACAACCGCTCAACAGGTGGGTGTGGGTCAAAATAGGTACCCAAAATGGAACCCTTGTAAATGGACACATGGACTAAAACCTGCGGTCCCTTGGTGGTTTAATTTTGACCCATACCTAAGTGGGAAAAAAAACAAAAAAAAAAACAAAAGGCCCAAAAGTCGAAGACTCGAAAAGTCGAGACGCCAACAAACTAAACAAAAACGAAACAAAACCAACAAGTCGAAAAGTGCCGAAAAATAGTCCTAAGTTGAACCAAGTCGAAAAGTCAAATAATCTAAAAACTAGAAAGTGTTGAATTCGTACCTGACTTCATGCAGTCCTGGTTTTGTCCACACCAAAAAGAACGACACGTATAAAATCGAAAGTTGCAAGCATTAAACTTTGCAAAATGTGTGAACCTTCCTCGCCGGGGAACATGTCCCGCGCGGAAAGGACTTAGCTCCCTCTCAGCTCGGGGTGGATGGATGTCTCAACCCCCCCCCTTTGGGTGTACGTCTACATGCCAGCAAACTTGCTGGAGACCCCCCAACATGCAGATCAGGAAATGTGAAATGTCACTACCCCGGGTGAATTATGCTGTGAAGCCCCGAAAGTGTGACACTTGGCCAACCCACAAGCCAAAATGTTCCTGTCCACGGGGCGGTTGGCATCCCTGTTCGACCAAATTCCGCTTCATCCCGCGCCAGGCCACTCCTACGAAGTCCCGCACCAGCCGCCCCACAGCGATCTGCGGAGAATTGGGCAGGAAGCCAACAACTACGCAATCAAAAGATCAACGGCTGCACTAAAAGGCTCATTCCACGTCAAATTCAGGGGTGTTTCCATGTCGAGAAACTGGAGAAACCGTCTTCTTCGCAGCTCCTGAAATGTGGGGCGGACTCCAAAAAGAGGGTATTGTTCCTTTTGGTGCCCAAACTTCCCCAAAAGGCGGGTTACCTGCGGATCCTGCAGTTTCTGGCATTCTCCCCTTAGCCGGGTTCCTTGACCAAAGCTAGGAGTAGTCAAAGCTTATGAATCGGATTTTTGATTCCTCGAGGCCCTGGTTGCTAATCCCGGAGCCCAGAAAAACTCCATGCACGAGAGATTCTGACCTTCCGCGGTGCAAACTCCGAAATGGCCTCTCGATCGGCCACTGAGACAAGCCGAACGGGAAGTTTGTGGTGTTTCGCCCTTTTGTGGAAGGGCACCCTCTTGGGCTTGGTTGATTTCGGAAAGCCAAACGGAACAAAGTCCAAACCCCTATTTCGACACAATATGTGAGGCTCGGCACTTCTTTTTGCGGCCGGAAGCGGAAAAAACGACAACAGTCCATTTGAAACACCCTTGGAAAACCATCATGGGCGTGGATTGCACCTGTCCCTCTCACCTGCCGCGGCGCTTGCTTTCTGCTTTTGCCGGCAGAACCGCAGACCCGCAGGAAACCGAACCTCGCTAGGCTCATTCGAGCTCGACTGTGGCACCGACTGCCGCAGTCCCCACGCACAGCGAAGCTCCGGGGTCTCCCCGAACGCCATGTGGATGCCTCGAAACCTTGTTCCCTCTTAAGGACAAGGCAGGCAAGCCAGGAAACTCGATCGGGAAGCTCGCGAAGAATCAAATCTGACTCTTCTGCACGCTCCTTGTGCCCTGTTCTTGAGCGGATTCATTGAATTTCGGTCCTTCCATGAACGGCTCGGCCTCAAGGGGCAAAATGGCGGAATCTGGGATGAGACTGCAAGGCGCAAGCTCGAGCTTTGCCGCTTGGCAACCGCACTGGGGCCTATGGGGGCATGATAAAAGTCATCTGAGAATGATGAATTGCACAACTGTGTTGGCTGCTCTTGTCGCATGCTTCTGGCATAAGTACCCAAGAGTCGGGAGCAAGCTGTGAAGGAAGCACTTCCCATACATACACATCAAGCTGCCACACCGTCGGCCATGAGCTCTGGAGTGTCGAGCCGCGTTCTCCGGCAATAAATTGGCCCATCTCCCAAATGTCTTGGGAATCTGGCCACTAAGTCTTGCACTGGCTGGGTCTTCCTGAAAGCCTGAATAGATCTAGTAGCCTAAGCACAGCAACTGTGGTGGTGCTATCACCAAGGATGAGACAAAATGTTGCCATTCGCAGGGGGTGGGAATGTGTTCTCATGGTGGGCTCGCCGCAGCACGCAATGAGAAGCTCAAACTCTGAACCATGCAGCGCAAACAAGGTCACACCAATTCTCCACTAAACGAAGCCAGTTCTAGCAACTTAGCAACGATGATATTCAAACGCAGACAGAGCCGCCGTGCAAAATCGGATAACAAGGTTTGTGTGCCCACGAAACAATGCAATAACCGCACATCTGGGTATACAAATGGTATTAAAACCAAAACAATCCTGACACACAGTTTCCAAGATCAGCCTGGACTCCATGAGATTGCTTCATAGACCCGTTTCGCCGAATTCGTTTGCTGTCGCTACGTGCAGCCCCCGGCAATTGCCAGGGCTGGCCAGCTTCTGTAGGTGGTGTGCAGTGCAGTCATGAACACCAACAAATGGCGAGCAATAGGCTAAAAGCCAATCCGTTCGCGATGGCATTGAGCCAATCTTGCACAAGAGCTTCGGATAAATCAAGCTGGCTGTTTCAGAATTAGGGTATGCCAAAAAAAGGTGTGCAAGCCCACTCACATAAAAACAGCATTTCGAGAAACAAAGGCACAAACGCAACTAGCTGTGTTCAACGTGTAGGGCCCACTGTGTATGAGCGGATGCCATGTCAAGCACATTTTCAGGCCTTGTTTGAAGGTACGGATGCTTCAAATAATGTTAACCCCAGATTAAGCAGAACCCCTGGTTGATTTTGATCGGGGGGCGTCCAATTCCTTTTAGTGGGGATTCATCTTTTTTGGAAGGAACCCCCTAATGGGATGGGTTTATTAATCCTTTATTAATCCTGGGTCAACATTATGAGGCGGCTCTGTGTGGCCGTGAGCCCACAAAACACCTGGCAACTTGGGGACTAGTTCGCCATGGTTGTTTGGAAAGAGGGGCACTTCCGAATGGCGTCAAGCAAGCCGAAGCGTTGAAATCCAAACACGAAGTCTCACCAAATGCAAATTTGAGAAGGGAGAAGCCACATGAATGCTTGTGCGCCACATAAAAGTGGACATGTTTGGGAGGACAACTTTGCTGGGCATACCCTTTTCCGGGTCCCTCGTTCCTTGCTTTGCCGTGGGTGGGGATTAGATCAGCTTACGCCTCAGAGGCAAAAAATGCCTCCGGCCAAGCCTGGGCAACCTGAAGGGACATCCTAAGCTTCGCTTGTTTCAACTCACGGGGGTTTTTGAGGGGCACAGCGGCCAAAGACCTTTACGCACGCGCGATGCCAACATGCCAAGGTCAAGTTTGCTGTCACGTTGCCCAAATTGAGCCCATGACTGCACGGCTCTTGCGAATCCTCTGCGATGTGAGCGTCTATGTGGCCTGCGATTCAGTTAATGCTCAGGACTCGCCGACTCCAGGATAGAATTTCAGAATGCCCAAGTCAGCATCTTGAAGGAAAAGAGGCCTGGCTGTCCACCTACCCGCCGGGCTGGAAGCGCAAGTTCAG